TTTTTTTGCATTTGAAAATATTTGGGTTGGTGGAAGTTTGAAGCTATCAGAAATTGCCAACCATACTTACGAGATTGCGAAGATCATAGGCATGTTTAGCATGGAGAATTTCAGGAGTGTCCCAAACAAAACAGCCAATTCCTTTGAGCCAGTTGAGATCATCTTTGTATACAAACTGAGGTATTAAAATTAAAAGAAAAACCGAGAGAAAGGATGAGGATTCATTCCATACAACCTCAAGAATGGTTTATCGATCAGCTAAAGTTAACTTCCCAGCTTGGGTCTAGCTCCACACCATGTTAAATGATCTTTATTAATTCAATTCCAGGCCTGGAAGAAATACCATTGATAAGACTAATCTTAATGTTAATTTCATGTCTTCCTATTACCCATGCTTATCGGGCATGGTCTGATAAGTGGATTATAATTCAGTTGGACCTTCTTTTTATCAGCCTTTGCCATCTGAAGAAAATATAATTATCAGAAGCCGGAAGCCCCAAAATGTGACTGGTTAGTTTAAATCAGCCTTTTAAATTCAACTCCATCCAAGGAATCTCTGTTGCTTTTAAGCCTTTAGTTCTCTGTTGGTAGTCAGTTTCATCAACAAGAGAAGAGATGGCTGATAAGGTTCTACATTTGTAATTTTATTCCCCTTTGGGTTTTTTTCTTTTTACCTCATGAATTTCTTTTCCTCCCATAGTACACCTTGTTTTGCCACATTTTTGCTTTTCTTTTTTTCATTGACCTCTTTGATTGTCCCTTAACCACTGTTTTTTATTTTGTTCTGAGAGTAATATTTATAAAGGTCATTCACTTATCACTCCACAATGCCCAACAGCAGCTGATGTTTGGTTTTTCTGTTGATGAGTGATTCTGATAGAGGAAGATAGGATGGCCAGAAGCTACCAGGCCAGATATGGTACTGCTGTAATGGCAGCAACACAAATAGCTTCATTTTTGAGATGAAGCAAAAGGCAGGCATGGGGATGCGATGAGAAAGAGATCATAATTGTGTTCTAATAGCATGGACATTAATGTTATATTAACAATTTAGGGTAAATTGCTAATTTTATGGAAGTTTTTTATTGATAAGTATTTGCTATAAAATAAGATCCTAAAGTGTTCCACTGCAAATCAGAAAAGGATGTTGGTTGTAACTTTTTGGGATATGCAGAGTTTGTCCAGATATACATAATTTCCTGTTTTTATTGTTTTTAGTTTTGTAAAATGGAAGTGACACAGAGTTGTTCTGGGATTAGGTGGTCTTTAAATCTGGCAAAAAAAAATAAAAAATGACCCTTTATATAAAATATTACATTGTCCCTATGAAGCTATGTGCTATACAATACCTATGCCACTTCCAAGCAAAAACTGATAATGAGTCTATTTTTGATGCCTAGGTTAACCAACGTATGGTTGTTAAACATCAGCTTGTGTTTGAATTAAATTGCATTAAAATTAGTATAGCTTACAATGTATAAAACGGAGCGCGTCCCACCACTCATATTTTCTCCTGCATTGTGCAATGCTTGTTTAGTAGATTTCTAAAAAGGAGTTATAAATATAATTGACTTACATCACTAAGTTGATTATTGACTTTTCGGGCAAGAATATTGGCATGAGGATCTGGAATACTGGCCCACTGATGGAGATGGACACGATAATCAATTTCACTGATTTTCTTGACACAAAAGAATCGACAGTGATACGGGTGGTACAGACCGCGCTATACCTAAAATCGGAACAAGAAAAGTATCTACAGAGACATATTTGCGACCCTTTAAGTCTGTCTTTCCAATCAAGTATCATGTAATTGTTCGAAGGGTCGATTTATACTAGACACTATTAAAAAATTCCTCAACTGATGATACTAATCTTATTTGGTTATTGATTTATTTGAAACATTATAGTGCTGTAATTATGCTAAAATAATTTTGCAAAAATAAAAAAAGTTATTGAAAATGCCTAGGAATCATTGAAAATCTGATTTAATTACAGCAATATAACACACATAAGCCTCAGCTGACCTAAAATATTTTGGTACTACTGGTATTTGTTAATATTTTGTAACCAAACAGGACAGGTTCAGACTTCAATGGATAGTTAAGACTGCAGAAAAAACAACTGCAACCAGCCTGCCTTCCATAGAAGACCTGTATATTGTGCAGGTCAGAAAGAGGGCTGAGAAAATGTCTACAGACCCCTCACATCCTGGACATAAATTGTTTCAACTTCTTCCCTCAAGACGACGCTATAGGGCATTGCATGCCAAACGACAGTTTTTTTTCCCTCATGCCATTGCTCTGCTGAACACCTAATTCTCACAGTGCTAATGCCTATGTATAAGTTACCCATGTAGTTTGGCTGTAGTATTATCTTACTAGTATTCTTACTATCTTTACTCCCCCTCTTATTGGTATAATTATGATGTTTATTATTATTCTGTTGCTTTGCATGTATACTGAGAATTTCTCCACCAAAGACAAATTCCTTGTGTGTCTAATCCCACTTGGCCAAATAAAGTATTTTATTAATGAAAAGGTATGAATAGCTGTCTGAATTCAACATATAGAAGCCAAGTGTCAACTGCAATGCAAAATGAATTAAATAGTCCTTGTTTACCCTTGGTGTAACCTGGTTAAGTTCATCTTGTAACATTAGTTCTTAGCAGTGCTAATTAGGACTAACTAAGATCTGATTGGAAGCCACCAAGAGTTTTTTTAAATAAGTAAAAATAATGGTACATTAGTAAGCATTAATATTGGTCTATCCCAAACAAATTGATAATAGGGTCAGTATTAAAGGAAAATGAATCCAGAAGGTTTAAAGAGCACCCCTTAGCCACCCCTTAGCCAATATACTTTCTAATTATTTGTTTGTTTTAAGATAGAGAATATATATTTTTCCTTTCCTAGAGAAGAAAGTTAAATTGAAACCCTAGATCAGTTTAACCACTCCAATCATCTGATGAAGTGCATAAAATGTTATGCCTTTTAATAAAGTCTATTAATCGGAAAAGGTGCTATCCAGCTCCTCATGATTTTGAACTGACAGACTAACCTGGTTGTTCTATACTGAAACATATAGAGGAACAATGCAGTTTAACTGTTTGAATTGTTAGAATGGAGAGAGAGAATTTCTGAGAGAGAGAGAGAATGGAGAGAGAGAATTTCTGAGTTGGCCTATGGCTAGATCTTGAAGTGGTCTACTCTAATCCATATAGGCACAGTAGCGCAAGTAGCTAAGGCATTGTGGGGCTCCACACCCTACAGCCGATTTTTCGCTGTTTGGGGACCCTAAATGGGCCAAAGGTTGCCCCGAAGAGGCGGCAAAGAAGGAAAGAAGCCCTGCTGACCGTGGAGAGATGGCGGTCGATCCGGTTGGTCAGGGAAAGCCCTCCAGAAACCAACAGAAGAAAGGCTAGCGTCACTCCAGAGTCTAGCCCAAGCTACAAGCAGCCAAAGCCAAAAAGCACTAAGTTAAGCTTGATCATAAACAATGTGTCCGGAACTGTGTAAGAATATTGATTCTTTCTCTTCTACCTGATTGAACTCCTGGGGAAAAAACCCCAAGAAAACAAAAATCCTCCGAAAGTGAGAGGAGGGGGATTTTTGCTCCACCCTCCGATAGACAGAAGTGGCAAATTAAATTCATATGGGGGAAAGAAACATATTGAAATGAAATAAATATAAGACTTAAATCTGGATAGGTGTGAAATTGGTGGAAATAGTTAAGATTTTCCTGGCAAAAGATTATTAATGAAAGGAATCCATACAGTTTTTCTATGTGTGAATAAAGCAGAACCTATGATTTTTATCTGTCCTAATCTATTGTTTGAAGTAAGATCTTGGTAATGTAAGTCTCTCATATGATCTCATCCAAAGGAATTAAGGCTTGTAAATTTTGTGCTTGACTCCTCACCACTTGGAAATGTTTAATATAGGTTTTTTTTAATATCTTACATCAATGTTCAGCTTGCCAACTCTTAAGCATCTTGCAGTGTTGGGATCATCCTGAACACCTCTAGGAATGGTGTAGAGTGCTTTAAATTTATCATACTCTTCCCGATATTTCACCTAGTGGCAAAGAAAAGAAAAATAAGCCACGTGGGAACCATGTCTTATTTCTAAAGCAGATTTACCTAAATGCATTGCTAGGTATACTTACAATACTGGCATTATATTTCAGCTGCCTAGCACGAACAAAAGGCACAGCATCGGGAGGCAATTTGTAAGTGAGGGACTTGATTTTCTCCCACATTTTCTTGTATACATTCTGAAGAAAGGAGAAACAGTGACATCGATATTTGAGACAAAATCTATGAAACAGCAGTGTAGAACAGGTAGTCCTCAACTTACAACCATATTTATATTTTAAATTTTATGTCGTATAGTATGCCCTTATTTTAACTGTGATGCTTCTGACATGAATAAACCAACTTACAACCACCATTGGATTAGTGACCATTTAAAGTTACAATGGCACTGAAAAAAGCGACATGACCATTTTTCACACTTACAACCATTGCAGCATCCCCCATGGTTGCATGATCCAAATTGAACAATTGGCAACTGGCCTATATTTATGACAGTCGCAGTGTCCCTGGGGTGTGTGTGTCATGTGGATCACCTTTTGCGACCTTCACACAAGCAATGTCAAAGGGGAAGCCAGGTTCACTTAACAACCCAGTTACTAACTTAACAACTGCAGGGATTGACTTAACAACTGTGGCGTGAAAGGTCGTAAAATGGGGCAAAACTCACTTAACGACTGTCTCGCTTACCCACTGGCTCAACTGTGGTCATAAGTCAAGGAATACTTGTAAAAGGTAGCACAGGATAGAAAACCTTTTGCTTTTTGTATAGAAGAAAAGTTTGGGTCTTCTTTCGCATTCTTGCCCATGATGGCACGTAGCAAAAGTTGTTAGTGATTAACCATATTTCAGCAACATACAACTGCATATCAATCTTAAACGGGATGTAACCCAGAACTACATATTCCTTCACATATATTATAACTTTATCTCCTCTTAGTCTTCTTGAGTTGGTTGGAAATGACATGAATGCCACCCCAACTCCCATCTGTGATCCATCCTAGATAAAGCCAGCCTAAGCAGGAAGAGAAGTCATTACTAAGTAATCCTCACATTCTGACTTCAGCTGTTATATATTGGTATAAGAAGCTACCAGAACAGCAGTGAGCCAAAATTTGTTTTCCTTAAGTGTGTGCAAAAAAGTAATTTCAAGAGGCTTCTGGACTTGGCAGAACTTGAAACATTTTGTATTCATGTATGCTGTTTGAAATACCGTCTATACTACACTATCATAACTCCAGAATAGCATTAAAAAGAAAAATACTCACATCACTGAAGAGGTGCTTGAGGTTCTGGATCCTATCGTGATCTGCTGTTTTCAATACTGTGGTATATTTGTCCTTTGTTTTATGGTATTGTTCTTTATATTTCAGCTGTAATAAAAGTGAGTGACAGTCATTCAATCTCTTCGTACAAATTACAGAAAAAAGAAAATAATAAGGAATAAATCTGAGCAAAGACGGAGAATGGCTCACCTCACTAGCATTGATGCCACTCTGAACGGCAGTTACATAAACTGGAGTGTCCATAACCACGCCATAGTTTGGTAGATTGTCCTTCCCTGGTTTTGTGTATATCAGCTGTAAAATCAAGGCAAAAAAAGCAGTAGGGCTTAGTTCTTTAGTAACCGTGGGCACAACCCATGAGATTATATTTTTAAAGTCCATGAACTATGAGTCTCTGTAATATACAGCAGTTGATAACTTTTAAAAAAATATTGCAGAGCTATATTTCTACTAAAATCCTTTTTGGTGTAAAATAGAAAGGTTTGCTCCGTTCCCCGAAAGTGAGACACTATCCTCGCATTTATTTATGCGTGTATTTTTTTTTATAAAGGAAAGTAATTCTACAAATAAAGATGCCTTATCTAGGCTCTGCTCAAGTACCAGTAAATCATTCTGTCCTGATTCGTACAAAATATTAAATGAAGTGAATCAGGCATGTCATTCAGATCATCCCAGGTGCTTTTCCAAAAGGCAACTGGACTTTCTTGGTTTTTTTTTCCTTGAAAATATTTCGCTTCTCATCCAAGAAGCTTCTTCGGTTCTAACTGAATAGTGGGGAAATAGAAGGATTTATATTCTTTGCAGTCATCTGGGCATTAGCTCTCTGAGGGTCATTGCGGCCACTTGGGAGCTTATCTGTATCCCCAAAGACACCTTTCCTGCATTAAACATAAAGGCTGTTGTTTCCTAACGGTGCTATCTAATATTCCTCAGTGGATCTATGGATGAATCCTGGTGTATGCCTGAACTGATTAATTAAATTAAAACATATAAGGAACGGTTGCTGGAATTGGGTATGTCTAGTTTAATGAAGAGAAGGACGAGGGGGGACATGATAGCAGTGTTCCAATATCTCAGGGGCTGCCACAAAGAAGAGGGAGTCAAGCTGTTCTCCAAAGCGCCTGAAGGCAGGACAAGAAGCAACAGGTGGAAACTAATCAAGGAGAGAAGCAACCTAGAACTGAGGAGAAACTTCCTGACAGTTAGAACAATTAACCAGTGGAACAACCTGCCTCCAGAAGCGGTGAATGCTCCAACACTGGAAGTTTTTAAGAAGAAACTGGACAGCCATTTGTCCGAAATGGTATAGGGTTTCCTGCCTGACTAGATGACCTCCAAGGTCCCTTCCAACTTTATCATTATTATTATTATCATTATTATTATATGCCCCCCAAATGTAGTTCATGCTTCTTCTTACTTGGCTCTGAAGGTCATAAGACTTCTTGGCATGCAGGATTTGAGGAGTGTCCCACACGTAACATCCAATTCCCTTTAGCCATGTCAAATCATCTTTGTATATCACCTATAGTTAGAAAGAAAATAATAAAAGAAAACATAAAACTTCTCTTATCTTCCCCTGCATATCATACTTGATATCTCCGATCATCTCACAGCTTAATTCCAGGGCAAATTTTACAAAAAAAAATAAAAAAGAGGAACATCAAAAACATTAGATTTGAATTATCTAATGCAAATCTGAACATAGAGCACGTGCATGTCTTTCTGAGCTTCTTGATATCATTCCTACTTTATAAAAATAATCCATTTTTAGTAACTATATCAGGTTACGTTACGGAGAATTTAAAGCAGAGAAGTAGAACTTGTGGTTCTCAAAGCGTTGCTGAATTACAATCTGCAGCATTCCCCATCATTGGCTATTTCAATTTAGGATGTTTATCACTTTCAGTTTAAGGCAGTCTTCCCTTTGGGGACAATTATATTATCCAATGAAATCCCATGAAGATACTCTGCTGGTTTCTTCATGGTTATACTGTACTATGCCAGCATATAGCAATAGCACCTAGGCTTATATACCGCTTCACAGTGCTTTACAGCCCTCTCTAAGCGGTTTACAGAGTCAGCCTATTGCCCCCAACAATCTGGCTCCTCATTTTACTGACCTCGGAAGGATGGAAGGCTGAGTCAACCTTGAGCCAGCGAGAATCGAACTACCGAACTGCTGGCAGTTGGCAGTCAGCAGAATTAGCCTGCAGTACTGCATTCTAACCACTGCGCCACCAAGCCATATAAAGCAAAAGCTCTGGATTACCGCATGACTGACCCAAAGCTTGACGACTGATTTGCAATAAACGAAGCATTTCTCAGTGACCGTGAGAACAAACCGTTACTTACATCGCTCAGAATCTCCTGAGCCTTTCTAGCTTGCACCACATCGTTCTCTTCAGGGGAGCAGTTCCACTGGTGCAGGTGAGTTCGGTACTCAAGGTCACTGAGGATATACTGACATTTCTTAGCCAGCACGTGGTTGATCATGTCACTTGGGATATGAATGTGTGCCTTGGTGTCTTCATAATTCTTCCTGTAAGCCAACTGGAAAGCAAGATAAAATAGGAAAATATTAGGAAAATAAGGGGGCTCTGGGGCCCTCTGCTCCATCAAAAGCAGACAGCATGTGTAAGAATCTGTTGCCAAAGTCAGTTTCAGATCTGCTCTGAAAAAACGAGTAGCACAGATAGCACGATGTCAGCACGGATTTCTTGCCTTCCGAGGCCTCATCCTCATCCCCAGTCATCAGACATATTTTCCTCTCTTTATGTCACAGGTAGTCCTCGACTTACGACCACATTACCGAGCCCTTTTCTTGCCACATTTATTAAGTGAATCAGTGCAGTTGTTAAATTGGTAACATGGTTGTCAAGTGAATTCCCCACTGACGTTGTTTGTCAGAAGGTCATAAAAGGTGATCATCTGACCCTGGGACAACGGCAACCGTTATAAATATGACCCAGTTGTCAAGCATCCCAATGTAAGTCATGTGACCATGGGGATGCTACCACAGTCTTCAGTGTGAAAAAGGGTCATAAGTCACTTTTTTCATTGCCGTTGCAACTTCGAAGGGTCACTAAATGAACTGCTGTAAGTCGAGGACTGCCTCTATTCAGCTTCCTCGCTATAATTCCTGCAAGAATTACCGTCCAAGAAAAGCCACAAATAACTCCTTACCGCACTCCGTATTTTTTGGAAAGCAAGAGAATGGAGCACACTTGGGAAGTCTTTTATATGTTTCCCCGCCAGATAATGGCCCTTTAGCTTCTCGTACATTGCTTTATATTTGAGCTGAAAAGGGCAAATAAAGCAAGTGTTAAGATCTGTTTCCCCCCCCAAAAAAATCGCACAAACAAAGATAACAATCAAAAGAAAATTCATACAGACCAGGCTGTTAATATAATCAGCATGTTTGGCACCAACAATTGGAATGTAGTCTGGAGGCAAAGTGTAACCATAAGCCTTCTTTGATTCCCAGGCATCCTTGTACACATACTAGAAGGGACAAAAATGGCAGATTAGATTTTTTTTTAATGTATATATATATATATATTATTAATTTTTATAGGATTAGGAATAGGGTTAGGGTTGGGCTTAGGGTTGGGGTTAGGGTTAGGATTTTTTAAAATAATATTCTTAATATTTAGCAAACAGCATGTTGTCTAGATTCATGTAATTAAAAAAACAATGAATAATAATTAATTATCACAAACAATGTTAATTAATCACTCAATAGTCTTCTTCTCACTAATATATATTCAATGGCAGATTAGATTTAAATGAACTAAGTCAGTGATGGCAAACCTTTTAGAGACCGAGTGCCCAAACTGCAACCCAAAACCCACTTATTTATCGCAAAGTGCCAGGGCTGCATCAGTATTGTGGTGCCCTCAGGGGGGGTGGGGGTGGGGGTGGCCCACTGGGTGGGCGTAGCTGCAGTGGTCATGGCAGACTGGGTGAGCATGGCTGGGGCCAGGGCAGTGGGGGCCAGTCCCTTGCCATCTCCGGGGCATCCCCAGGGGGCCAACGCCACTTGCTCGCCCACTTCCTGCCCTGTCGCTTCCGAACGCCACATGCTCACTACTCTGGCGAACTCCACTGGGGCAACGGCGTGCGTGCCCACAGAGAGGGTTCTGAGTGCCACCTCTGGCACAGGTGCTGTAGGTTCGCCACCACTGAACTAAGTTAAAAAGAGTCCAAATGCAAGCGCCCTTAAAACAGGGGTAGGGAAAGATGTCCCCTTTATGACTTGTAGGCTTCAACTCCCAGAATTCTTGAGCCAGATGACTCAGGAATTCTGGGAGTTGGAGTCCATAAGTCATAAAGGGGACAGCGTTCCCCACCTCTGCCTTTAAGCAAGAGCAAGGTCTTTTCCCCAGTTTAAAACACCAGTCTGCAGTAGGAGGGATGATAAAGCAAAATGGGTGGGTGCCCCACTTAAAAAAAAAAAATCCCTGCCTTTATTGGGAATATTATTTCTCTCTGTCTCTTTCTGCTTCTCCTTTTCTCTCTCTCTGATATACACACAGTCACACATATACAGCTTATGCTACAACTTATCTTACAGTAATGCACAGGTAGTCCTTGACTTACAACAGTCTGTTTAGTGACTGTTCGAAGTTACAACGGCACTGAAAAAATTGACTTATGACCGTTTTTTACACTTACGACCGTTGCAGCATCCCCATGGTCACGTGATCAAAATTCAGATGCTTGGCAACTGACTCATATTTATGACAGTTGCAGTGTCCCGGGTCATGGGATCCCCTTTTGCAATCTTCTGACAGGCGAAGTCAATGGGGGAGTCAGAGTCACTTAATACCGGGTTACTGACTTAACAACTGCAGTGATTCACTTAACAATTACAGCAAGAAAGGTCGTAAAATGGGGCAAAACTCACTTAACAAATGTCTAGCAACAGAAATTTGGGGTTCAATTATGGTCGTAAGACGAGGACTACCTGTATATTCCTTTTCCCTTAGAATGGCAGGATTTTTCCACCATTATTGAAGAGGAATGCTAAAGTTGTACAAAAATGAGTTCAGGAGCCACAGTGGGTCCAGAGTCTCAGCGTGTTCCGGCAATGGGGAAAAAGTCACGATACGTGACGTCGCAAGTTTGACATGCCTGCTATAGGCAATTCCATTCTTTCAATTTTTGGGGAAGTACCATATAATATAACTTTTTCTTCAAGAGAAATTCATCTGCTGAAGACTTCATTCTTGGCTAAATTGATTTCCTTTAATTGATCTGTCAGCAACTCTATCATACAGCTTATTTTCTCTATCTTTGGTCTGTATATTCTTTAGATCTAACCCAGTTAATAATCTATTTGAAAGACCATAGCTAGATAATTACTTGAAGAAGGAAAAGGCACACCGCAATATATTTGCACAGTTAACATGAACAAAATGTATTCTTGTATAAAGTAATATAAAAATATATTACCTATTGACTTTATCTAAACTGTAAATTTAAATAGTATCAATGAATAATATTTTAATACTTTAAATCATTGTGCAAATAATTGCGGGTTCAGAATTAAGACAGAGTGTGGATGCAGGATTCAAGGGAAAGTGAAGTTCAAACAGGCATTTGCATTAAAAAATATGTTTCCCCAAATTAAGTTTCTTCCTAGTAATACAAGAGATCTTGAATTTACATGATTTGAAATACAAGATAGCCAGAAACTTACATCGCTGTACAGTTTTACCATCTCTCTAGAATGACTCAAGGCTGGTGTGTCATCAGAACCAATGTAGTGGCCTTTCTGAAGGTTAAAGGTTTCTTTGTATTTCACCTAAGGAAAATGAAAGGCAAGGCGAAAATACCAGACATCAGGTTGAGTTTAAGGCTAACTTGATAAGCTGACTTTCTAGAATAGAGCAATATAGAGAATTTATTCTAATTTTTAGAAGTTTATAAAGTATTATGGCATCTTTATGCGTGTATTTCTTTTCTGTAAGAAAGATACTAAAGCGATAGACCAAGTCATTGCTAGAAATTCTGTCATTAACACAGATTTCACACAGTTATTCTGGCCTGAAACATGGTTTATATTTTTAAAAGCACTGTAGAGCATTCATGCTATATATAACTACTCTAATATTGAAGGTTTTGTTAAAAAGAACATTGCATTATAGAATAGTATATTAACCCTCAATGTACTGAATAATTAACACTAGATACAATGATCAAGCAAAACAATGAAAAACGTATTGTATGGCATTTTAAAATACATATTCTCATACATAGGGACACACACATTGACACCTATTGTAACTACCCAGTTTTAAAGAATGCTTACGTCACTCTGCATGATCGAATTTGTCTTTGCCAAAACCACATCTGGAGTATCTTCAACGGATGTGAAATGGTCAAAATTATCAATGGCTTCCTTTGTGTAGATTCTCTGTAGAAAAAACATGACATAATCATAATTATCTTCTGGGGAAGTCTAGAATGCTGCTATAAGTGTACAAAACAATAATTTACCTTGTTTATTAATTCTTGAGCATTCTTTACTCTCCGATGGTCCACCGAATCTAACGGAATCCAACCACAGCCACGGAGCCATTCAAGATCAGATTTATAAAGGTTCTGTAAACATGAATAAACTATAATAAGTACAGTTTATATCTATGTGTACATACTTGATTTATTTTCCTAAATCTTTCTCTTGGATATGCTTTCATATCTACTTTGTAAAAAAATTAGTTTGGGGAAAAGTCCACTGGAGAGGGGTGGCTATGATAAATCTGAATAAATAATAAAAAATAAATAAAGTTATTACTTACATCACTTTGAAGTTCATAGGCTTTCTTTGCCTGGATGCAGTCATTTTGGTCAGGGTGACACGTCCATTCATGTAGGTAATTACGATACGGAATGTCACTGACAAGGTGCTGGCAGTCTTTGGCTGCAATGACCGAGCGTATATCTGGAGGTATGTGAACGTGGGATTTTGTTTTGTGATAGGATTCTTTGTATAATCTGTCATTCTGAATCTTGCCAGCATGCTCAAACCACACTAGTTTTGGATCCTCTCTCATATTATTGACTCCAACATAGTGGCCTCTTTGGTTGACATAATCAGCCTTATATTTCAGCTAAAAAGGAGAAAACACATAAGGGTAAATATCAGTCTTGAATCTTTTCTTCTTCTAACTTGTGAAGTATTTTTTACTATTCTCATATTTTGGAAAGATTAAGAAAAAAATATAGGTGTAATTGCATGCTTACAAAGAAAATGGGCCCCTGAAATGATAAATCTGGCTGGGTCATTCCAATGAGAAACTGGACGGGCTTTGATAGGCTTTGCAATATTATGAAGTATGAGCATGGCAAATATCTGAAACCTGTGAGATTTTTCAAATGTAGAAAGACTTTACCTCACTTTGGACGTTATCAGAATGCTTGGCATGACGAAGTGGTACACTGTCAGGAGGTAAACTGTAGCCAGTAGCTTTATGTTTCTCCCAGCTGTCCTTGTATAGATGCTGCAAAACAGAACAGTAAGAAGTTAGCATTTTCTGAAACCCTACAATTGTTTCTAGTTCTACCCAAAACACATCCAGATTAAACTTCAGATTAAAAATACTTTTTTAAGCAATTGTTTCATATCCGTTGCCCTTGGACAGTCTTTTTCATAAATTCACTGTGTCTTGTCTTTTCAAAATATTTAAACTATATTTCAATATTTCAAATATAACTAATCATAGAAAACTGCCATATTCAGAGATAGGCAAGGGGTCAATCTCAGCACCATCAAGATTAATTGATAGTGAATCTACAGGATTTCAGATGGAGGCCTTTCTCTGGAGATTCCAGAGACTGGATCCAAAACCTTTTACATATACACACACACACAAAACACACACACACCTGTGTTGAGTCAGTGAGCTGTAGCTCTTTCCATTTGAAGTTCTCTACTAATGTAGCTTGGTTATATATGGCAGCCTTCAAAACAATATCTAGAGTGTTCCTCCTTACTGAAGTTATTCAGGAGAGACTGAGCATGCTATAGGTCTGGGTTTGGATCAAGGAGTTAATTTTTTAAAATATATTTTATTAATTTTTTTTACAATAACCTTCTTTAGTGCTTAGTAAACAACGTGTTGTCTGGGTTCATATGTTTAAAAAACAATCAATAATAATTAATTTCTATAGTTCCATAATCAATATATTAATTAATGATATATTTCTTTGATCTTCTCTTCATCCAATAGTATTCTCCTTTTGTCAAGTTTAAGCAAATATTATTCTTAAATTCAATACATATAAAGTTAAATATAAACCTTTTTCTTGTGTTTATACAAATAACACTAACATCAACATATAGCATCTTTTCTCATCAGTTTATATTTCAATTGTGTTTATAAAAGTCATCTTGTTGGGTCACTATATATCCTGTTTTCAAGATTTTTATTTAAGCTTAATTTCTCCTCTGAATTCAAACCATTCTTATCAATCATAATTTTCTCAAAGTTAATAACACTAAAATGGGACTGGTTAAAGAGAAACTTGGGAAAAATAGTTCTGATTCTGTGATTATATCTGAGGGCTCTTAACAATCACTTAAAATGATTAATTGTCTTATTTGGCCTGGAGCTGACATCTGTGCATAGTTTCTGTTACTGTAATCATGAAGTTTTCAAAAATACAGATAACTTTCTCTACACACTGAAGAGTCCAATGAAAATTGAGCAGGCTCAAGGGGAGGAAACGCTGAATAAATAAATGGGGAAGAAGGTAGGAAACTTGCACAGAGAGAAAAGGAATGGGATTCTGAACAGGGAACATCGTGGCAAAGTCACTGCAATATTGTGTTGTAGTTTTTGAGTTAAAAGAATTGTGAAGCCTGAATTACCAAGAAATCAGATGTTAGTATGAGCATATATGAGAATATACAAAGATTTTCATAAAAAAAAGAGAAAAAAGAGGGGGATATACAAATGGAAAGAACCAAAATAGTCCAATGAAAGCACAGTGGATCAATAGTGATAAGTAAATTTCTTTTGCAGTCAAAAGAGTGAAAAACTCTGGAAAAGGAGGATAGAATAGAATTCTCTTGAAATCAGCCCTGACAGGGGAGAACTCCCAGCAAGAGGCCCGTACATTAATATCCTTATTTTCCTTGACTGTAGTTTTTCACTAACTATCCCATCAGGACTCATGATTCAAAGATATAAAATTATTCCAAATTTTCTATTTACTATTGTTCCTGGGAGGAAAGTACATACCTCATTAAGAATCCTAGCCGCTTTTTTAACTGCTTGCAACCGAGGTGTATCTGTTAGTGTATAAATGGCCTTGATGTCATTCCATTCCTGGTGATATTTAATCTGGAAACATAAAAACACCATTAAGAATAGAGTTATTAGAGGCCGAAGTTACAGATGTAGAAATTGCATCTTAAACAGGCCATATGATGCTCCCCAAATGTTTTGGCTTTCAATTCACATCATCCAACATAGCAATGGAAGGTAGTCTCCAGATATCTGAAACAAATCCAACTGACTCTGCTTCTGATTTTTATTCATGTATTTGTGGTTACTGATCTGCCTTCATTTTTGTGAATACGAAAAATAAGAATCAACATACAGAGAACAAGAATATAACCTCAAACTCAGAAACAGACACAGTGTATACTTATTTGCATAATGCATGCCTTTCTGCAAAAATAATAATAATGGAGAAACAGAAAAGCTTATTGGCTAGATCAGAGTTAAGGTGCATTCAATTCAGCCTTTTTAATCTGCTAGTGCTCTTTAGAAACCATTGTGGTTGGTCTGCCACCACTTCTCTGCAAATCCCTGGCTATTCTTACTGTGATATGTAAATATAGTTAGTGTATGCTGAAATTCCATTAATTTTACGCACTTCACAAGAGAAAAAGAAGCACATGGATTTAGTCTCGCCTTTCAGAAATTATGCGTTTCTTTTACTTTATTCCTTATTTAATGAAATCTTTTATGTCACTGTACGATTGATTTATTATTGATCTGATAATTTAATTATTTATTAGGTAAAAATCAGTCTGGGATAGCAGATAAGGTGCAAATCTAGAAAGCAGGAGACTGAGAGCTGTAGTCCCACCCTTAGGAGGGAAAGGCAACAGGGTGACTTTGGGCCAATCACCATAAGGTTGTGAGTTCTAGTTCCGCCTTAGGCATGAAACCTAGCTGGCTGACTTTGATCCAGGCTTCTCTCTCTCAGCCCCACTCACTTCACAGGGTTGCTGTTATTGTGAAGGAAATAGGAAGAGGAAGGAGTATTAGATATGTTCTCTGCCTTGAGTTATTTATAAAGTAATGCAGGCAGGATAAAAAGCTAATAAATGAATAAAATCAAAGGAGTTACTGTGGGAAGGGGAGGGGTTGGAAGCATCTTTTCAAAGCAGGCCTGTCAGCCCAATTGTGAGGTGTTTGGGCCTATTCTAATCCCCCACAGTGTAACATGGCTGAGAAGAATCAGTACTTTGCACTTGAATGCCAAGAAGGCAATCCTTAGTTTGCTTTATAAAGGATTTACTGATGGCAGGAGTCAGTAGGATTAAACTTTAAAGAATGCTGTACAGAAAAATAATTGACATAGATGTTGTGAAGATGTCATTTTCCTGCTGCCACAGTTCACAAGATTCATTAAGCTGGTGGGCTCTGCTGGATCTATCAACATCCATAGTGATTTGTTCACCATGTATTGTTTCCTTTTCCAAGATTTCTCCCCTTTCCTAGAAGATGAATGTAACTGGACTGGAACAAAAAGTCAATACTTACATCGCTTAGTATTTCTCCACCTTGTTTGGCTGTGATATAATCAACCCTGTCATCCACCGGAGTAAATGGCAGGCTATCAGCTTTGGTACGATATAACCTCTGTAAAAAGAGAAAGAAATACAGATGTAAGGCAAATAATAACAATAAATAGTCATGCAAGAAAGAAAGGCAGAAGGAGAAATATATTCATCTGCATTGATGGCTACTCTTTTTGCTTTCCCGTTTTTAATAACTCTTCTCCTGGACTATGCTAAGAAACAGCTGTTGCTGTGCAGTTTGGCTGCTTAATCTGAAAATTTAATGTTAAATAATTAAATTAATAAATCAATATCTAACTAATGGTAATATTTATTGTTTTAATGTTTTATCTGGTTGCTTTTATTGAGTTGTAAGCTGCCCAGGGTCGCCTCTAGGTGAAATGGGCAGCAAATAAAATCAAATCAATAGATCAATAAACAAACAAATAAATATTAAGGTGGACTAAATTAAACCCCAACCTTTCTATTCCTTTTGAGCAGCACAACATGGATTTTGTATATTACATTAAATCAAAATCTGTTTTTTTTTTAGCTATGGCTTAACATTGTGCATGAAATCAGTCAATAATAATGTATCCAATAAATCATGGTAAAATAAACCATAACTTATTATTAAAAGGTTTTTAGATTATTATTTATAGAGCGTTTTTCTTCTTTTTTATTTTTGTTTGTTTTGTTTTTACTGATGTTGTGTGCTAAGATGAGCAGACATAAACATCTAATAAATAAATAAAAATCACTCAGTGCATATTCAGTCCATAGGAACAAGCAAGCATGAAGGAGAAACAGTTTTGCGTGAACTAAAGGCTGCATTGTGAAAAAGGCATATTTTTATAAATGAGTTTTTCTGTATGAAACAAGAGAAAACTTTGTAGGAGAAAACCTCTTACCTCATTAATAAGGGCCTGAGCATGTTTGACATGGTTGACAGAGACAGAATCACTTGGCATCCAGCCAATTCCTCGTAGCCATTCTAGGTCAGATTTATAAACAGCCTGCATAGACAAAAAAAGAGACACTATTTACAATTTTTCCAGGAGGCAATTTTTCATCCATTTTAACTGAAAGATAAAAATTGCCCTTCTTTTCCAACAGAGAAGAGCAACTGAATTAGGCACAGCATATAAAGAATTGTTACAATTTTTATGCTGTTTTAACTTAATCACTTTCTATTTTTTCCATAGTTTGATAAATATTTTCTTTCACATTTACATTTATATCTGGTATCATATTTTACTGGAGAACTAAAATGCATATTTATTTTAAATCAATGATGTTCATTTACATGGATGCAACTGTGGGATTCTGATTGGAAAATGTAATTTTCATTAAAATAGCTATCTACATGATATGGTTCCTATAAAAAACATCATATTTATAGAAGTTGATTGATTCATACAAAGTTGGCTTATAATGATAGAAGGAACACAGGTTCTTCAGTTTTGTACAGCAAATAGTAATAATCAGCCTAAAGCCAAGGGAAAAATTAAAAACAATAGTCAAAATGTAATAGTACATACAATGAACTTTCTACTCACATCACTCTGCAACTCATAGGCTTTCTTGGCTTGGATGACATCATTTTGATCAGGCAGACATATCCATTCATGGAGGTAGCGGCGATAATCAATGTCACTAACCAGTTTCTGACATTTCTTGGCCAACAAGATGGACAACATGTCCACTGGGCTATTAAACTTGGTTTTAAATTTCTCAAAATGTTTCTTGTATTCCCTCTCACTCTGCAGTTTGGCTACACGAATTGCCAGCACTAGCTTGGGATCATCATAGATGTTCCGGAATCCAACGTGGTGTCCCACTTGCTTACGGTAACCTTCTTTGTACTTGTACTAATTTTAAAGAAAGATACAAATAAAATTTCCATCTGTAATATCATAAATTGTAAAGGAATTATATGAGAAAGCCTTGTTGCAATATCTGCCATCTAGAAAAATACCCATCTATAGCTAATATTCACTTGGTATCTTTCCACTCATGCAGGAAACATGAGTGACTAGAAAGAGCAGGGGAATGCCTCTGGATATTTGCAGACTAGCAAATCCCAGTATTTGCCATTCCAGTCCAAAGATTCCCTTAACTTTCTAGCAGGGGATAGGGAATCAGTGAAATTCTGCGTTCTCACTGTGAGTGATAGAGTCATTTTCTTTTAATCAAATTCATGTCTATGACCAGACAATTTAAAACTGAGAAGTCACACTTTGAAAAAATAGCCACTCATAGCACAATGTTACTGTTCTAGATTTTTCTCCATTTTCAGAATTACATTTCAAAATTTAAATGTCTGATAGGACAATCCTATTGGAAGAAATTTCTATTGGTTTTCATGGAAATTCCTTAAAGCTGCATTTCTAACCAACTGCAATCTTTTACTGTAAGCCTGGGAACCTTTAGTTATAAATCCTATTTAGTATCAGCATTCTAAAACATTTTGCCAACCTTGTACCAAGAAATTTCTAGGCAGTAGGCTAGACTGGAATGTCAAAAAGCATCTGGGAAGAAAGCACTGGCAAATGACTTCTGTAATATTGCCTAGAATTGATTGATTCATTGATTGATTGCTCAAATGTATATGCCGCCAAGTGATTTATAGTTGGTTTTCTTTCTATCATATGCAAATGCTGATAGCAATTTAGGTCTCCATGTAGTCACCCAAAATGAAGATGGACTTATAAAGCTTTAAGTATCTTTCAGGCATATTGAGTGGTGGGACTTTTATCAGAATAAACATACTGTGGACTACAATGCTAATCTAAATATTCAGCAAATGTATATAACTTCATGTGCCAGAGCCTGTTATTTGCGGAGTTTATTCACAATAGTTGAATTATGTCTACAATCTCTTATTTTGCAGTGAACTGAGATATATAATAATATATAAATATCTGATTTTCTTTTATATAATTCCACCATTTGCCATTCCACTGGCAAAGGTTTAGAGTTCACACACAGAAGATAAGAACATGTATTTGACTACAGTACTTACATCACTGGCAATTTCTCTTGAGGCTTTGGCTCTTTTGATTGGAATTGCATCTGACCTGTAATCAATGTATTTCTTTACATCATCCCAAGAGTCCCTGTAGAGTTTCTGCAAAAAAAAATATCATTAAAACTCAACAATATTTTCAATATGCTTTTGCAATATCTGCTTGGTTTGGAAAGTTTCTTTTTTTTTTTAGTTTGCATTTCTTCAGTTATTCAGTTAATGAATGAAAATTTCATGATTTTTTTAATTACTTTTTAATGAATTAAGGAATATAGATCAGCCTCCAGGTTAGGCCATGTATTCTGGTATAATATAGATTATATATGACACTGTATCCAAATAAAGTTTGAGTCAAAGCATTGAAAATATTGCACAAGGCAACTAACAGTTTGCAAAATGTAAAAAAACAGCACTATTGTCATAATGAATTGATCCACAATAATATTTAACAGCTGGCCAGTAAAGCAAAAAAAAAAAACATTACTAAAAGGTCCAGACATGATTATTCAACAGGTATTCCTCATATTTTGCCTAAAGTGTCCATTTTGTTTCAAAAACCAATGAAAGCAGAAGCCTTAGAACAGGGGTCCCCAACCCCCATTCCGTGGACCAGTACCAGGCTACGCCATGCCAGCAACCAGTCCGCACAAAGAAGCAAAGCCCCATCCATGGGATGCAGGCAGTACACAAAACCACGGGCCTCTGGTCCGTGGAAAAACCTCTCTCCATGGAATGATCCATGGTGTCCAAAAGGTTGTGCACCTCTGCCTTAGAAAGTAGAAAGCTAAAGTATTATAAGGTGGGAAAATGCAGTTTTATGAAGTATGGTAGAAATATACTTACATTGCTTACGTTGATGGCATTGGCCTTGGAAAGCATTATTTCAGGGGTGTCAGGCATCACATGGATCATAACTTTATCTTTATCCCAAACTTCTCGGTATTTAGGCTACACAAAATAAAGCAGTGGTTAGTCGTTTATTTGGTGTTATTCTTATCTAATCACATTTTAACTTTCGAAGGGAAAAATGGATTTCATATAAACTTGCATCAAAAATTTTTTTAATAGTAAGTTAATGTCCTGAATGTATGTTAAGCTACTGAAAAAAAATAATAACATACAATACTGATTTGCTCCGCGTTGGTTTTAGCAAGGAGAATGTCCGGTGTATCAACAATGTTGGTGAACTTCAGACGGTCAGCAGGAGTGCGGTATAAATTGTCACTCAGGATTTCCTGGGCAAATTTAACTCTGTTCACTATTGGAGAACCACTTGGTATCCATCCAATCCCACGGAGCCATTCTAGATCTGACTTATACACAGCCTATGAGATCAGAAAGTGGGGGGGGGGAAAGGTAGTTAAATATTTTGTGAAATAAACATTCTTACGTGATAACAATTAATGGGATTAATCAATTCCAATCAATTCATAATTAATTATTTGAACAGGGCTTTTGTGCTCCTTCCTTTCTTTGTTCTAAGGCAAAAGGATAAACTGGACAAATGAAGTTAGAAATAGCCATACATCTTCTGACATTAGCATCACTTTTCATTTGCATTAATTACCTGGATTAAGTGAATAGAAAACACCCCAAATCTTGGCATAATATCCAAAATAGGCTGCACAAGTTTTTCTGTATCTTTGAACAAACTTATAAACTCCACTGAATTAAAGTTAAATGAATCGAGAAAGCGGATTTAAAAATGATACTGAACTGCATCCACTAGGATTAGGAGGTTATTGATAAATTTGCTCCATGTGACATTTTAGAAAATTCTTATTATGTAATAAGTCACTTAAAAATATTTTCACCATCACAATATGATGTTCCCATAGGGCAGGGGTGTCAAACTCGCAACATCACGTGGGGTGTCGTGGCATATCATGACTTTTTTTGCCATTGATGGCAATGGGGTGGGCGCGGTTTCGCCATGATGCATCCGGCCCGTGTGCTGGCAGTTTGACACCCCTGCCATAGGGCCTGTCAAGGTTAACTTCATTCAGTGAAGACTTCAATGAAGGAACAATGTCTCTGGTCATAGTTTTTGGCAGATGTGATCAAGGAAACAAAAGTAGAATTAAGATAATCCTCAAAAACACCTTCTCCAACCTGCATTCTTCAGATATGGGGATTTGAATTCTCATACATTCCCACTGGCAAGGATAATGTAAGTTGAATAGCAATACATCTGTTCTATAGCTAGACACTTCAAGGTCTCTTTTGTTCTGTGCCTGACCATGATACATCTACATATATCTTATAAACCACTGGTGTACTTACATCGCTCTGAAGTTCATATGCTTTCTTTGCTTGGATCACATCGTTCTGATCTGGCAGACAAGACCACTGGTGTAGATAACGATGGTAATCAATGTTGCTGGCTAAATCCTGCCCTTGCTTGGCTGCTTGGATAGCCACCATTTTGTAGGGAATGGTGATCTTGGCTTTTGAATTGTGGTATGCTTGCTTATAGAGACGGTCATTCTGCATCTTCATTACTCGAGCAGCCCATGAAAGCTTAGGATCCTCCTTGACTGATGGGGTTCCAATATAATGACCTTTCTGTCTCTCATAAGTTTGTTTGTATTTATACTGAAGAGGAAAGCAAAGCATAGAGCTGTTAAAAGGATAGCAATCATTCCAGTTAGTGTGAAAGTTGGTATTTTAATGACTGGGGGACCCCGAGTGAAGGAACAGGTAGAATTTATCATTCTAAACCATTCAGTAGTATATTTTATAATTTATGTCTCAAAGTAATACAATGTATTAAACCATTCTAAAACTATGTTTAAAAACAATAACCTTGCCATTGAAAAATGGCAATAGAAAGCAACAATCATTGAATCCAAAATCATTAGTGTATAAAACACCCTTCTACTGAAATCTCTCAGTGGTTGCTTTTTGGAAGTTCAGAATAAAACATGCATGAAACTTCTTGACTTTAATAAAAAATTTAAATCTCAAATTTCTAAGCACGTAAATGTAAAAGAGTGGACGGAGATAACTCTGGTATATTGTTGAATCAATGTGTTTCATTGGTAACTGGATGCATACTCTGCCATCTGGGTGATATGAAAAGATACAGTTGTTTTGTTTGTTCATTTAAATAGAACTCATACCTCACTGGCAATTTCTCTGGAAGATTTTGCCTGCTTGAATGAAAGAGCATCCACTTTAAAGTCATAGCCTTTTGCTTTGGCCTCATCCCAGGCTCCAGTATAATGTTTCTGCAATTAAAATATATGCACAACTTTCAATATAATCAGAAAATGCAGATGAAAATAAACTATCAATTAAACATACAATCTTATGGGTCTATATTAGATATAAGTACCACTATGATTAAGTGACTTTACTCCCAGGGATAACTGAAGTGCAGCACTACTGAAGAATAAAGTGTTAAAAATATAAATTTTCACAATGAGCAATTGGATAAGTATGGCATAAATACAGTATAAACATGCATAAATGAATATGGGAACACACACCTATTAAATAACTGATTTCAGTATTTGTTTGATAGTTTAATGAATGCAATTAACTGGTTTCAATAGAACAAAAAATAAATTTACTTCAAATTGACAATAATAAAACTACAGTTAGTCCTCGATTTACAACAGTTCATTTAGGGACAATTCAAAGTTACAGCAGCACTAAGAAAAGTCACTTATGACTGTTTTTCACACTTACGACCATTGCAGCAGCCATCCCCATGGTTATGTGATCCAAACTCATACTTATGACGTTTGCTGTGTCCCAGGGTCATGTGATCACCTTTTGCGACCTTCTGACAAGCAAAGCCAATGGGGGGAAGCCAGATTCACTTAACAACTATGTTACTAACTTAACAACTGCAGTGATTCACTTAACAACTGTAGCAAGATATGTCGTAAAATGGGGCAAAACTCACTTAACGACTGTCTCACTTAGCAATGGAAATTTTGGGCTCATTTGTGGTTATAATTTGAGGACTACCTGTACATAAGGAGGAAAAAGTAACACTTAAAGAAATAACAAGGTGTTTGAGGACACTAGAAACATCTTGAAAGTTTGAATCTGTTTGAATAAACCTTTTACCCAAAATTACAACAGTCTCCTTCTGGCCGCTCAACTTCCTGCCACTCAACTTTGCATTATCACAGTTGGAGTAATGCATATATTACCGTCAATATGTGAAATTAGGCATCTTATAGAATGCTTACAAAATCTATAGAATGCCAAAAATGGGATATCAAAGTATGAAATGCTTAATATTCCACACATTTCCTAGGCATTCTACAGTATGCAATGCCAAAAGGCAAACGGACAAAGTACAAAATAGTCCAGCTAAATGCCATTCTGAGCCTTTCTTGTGGCAACAAGTAGGTCAATACTGGCCTTTTTCTCTTGTATTTTTCAGTAAGAAAGTTTTGTACTTCGTTTTCCATTTCTTCTTTCATTTTCATATAAATCTTTTCCAAAAAAAGGGTTAGGATTAGAGTTAGGGTTACTCTAACCCAGTGGTTCTCAACCTTTTTAATGCCGCAACCCCAACCGGTCATAAGTCGAGGACTAAACCGGTCATAAGTTGAGGACTAAACCGGTCGTAAGTCGAGGACTAAACCGGTTGTAAGTCGAGGACTACCCAACTGGTCGTAAGTCGAGGACTTTCCCTGCCCAGGAGCGCCACGCATGCGTGGTTCCGCTCCCTGCGCCGGCCGAGGCGTAGCTGGCAAGCGGCAGAGACGGAGCAGGCCGACCACCAGCTGGCCCAGCCCAAGGGAGGTAAGGCACCCGCCGGAAAAGGAGAAAAAAATGGTGGACAAAAAAAATGGCAGACAAAAAAAATGGCGGACAGCCTTGCTTGGCGACCCCCGTGAAATGGTCGATCGACCCCAAATGGGGTCCCGACCCACAGGTTGAGAACCACTGCTCTAACCCTAACCTTTTTCATGACTCTTTTCATACTTTGCCTAAATAGATCTTGTCATTCTGCATAATGCCCAGGTTTATTTTCAATTCCTAAAGAAAGTATATAGCATATTAAAATAACACAGGCATTTCATGCCTGTGTCACACATTCTATACAACACCAGCTTTTCACACATTACTCGGTTTCAGAGGGTTGCAAAATCAAGTTATTGTTGCCTGGTTTTTTCCTTGTACTTACACTCTTCCTGTTCTATTTCAAAACCAAAGGGTAGATAAAATAGGCTCTGTTTATATAACTTGGAAGCGAGCAGGGAACATTGCAGTATTAACAGGACAAGCATTTCAAAAAACAGGAATTGGAAGACTTCTTCACAGATATTAAGGCAATACTGCAATGGAATTGGCTTGTAGATTTGGCACCTGCTGGAAATGGTGAAATTCAAGCTAGGCAATTACATTTGGAGCTTGTTTGTCCTAAATAATTTGCTTATTTATGGCTGTTATAGTAATATGTCCACTCTACAATGTTTTGAGTTTATATTGATTTAGCCAATGAACTTGGGATGCACACTTAACAAAAGAAAATAAAAAATCAATATCAGTCAAGAAGGCATAAAGTTTTTGTGCAGAACCTTGTACTTCCAACAGGGATGGTGGGGATATAGTGTCTGCTGAAACAGTCATCATCATTTTTATCATCACTTACATCTACATGTAATTGTTTTTCATTCTGTGTTTGTATACAAGCACAGGCATGCAATCTACTCTGACAGATTTTTAAGAGCTAAATATATATGTCTCAAAAAATAAATGACATAAGGATAACTTACAGCCTGTGTACATATGGATATGCTTGTGTGCGTATGTCTTTTCCTCCAATTGTTGAGGTGAAGCTTTAGTTTAATTGTCATTGCTCAAAGTGTAAATATATATATATATATATATATATAAGAATAGACATGTAATACCTTTATGTTTTTAAGAGCAACTAACAGGAGAGTGTAACTAAGACAACATAATAAACAAAGGAATAGTAATATGCTTAACAAAAGAATGCATACAGCTAGTAACTTATCTTACATTGCTAACATTCACAGCATTCATCTTGGACAGCAGCATTGATGGGGTATCAAGAGGAATATTAATCTGGGCCTTCTCTTTATCCCATGCTTCACGATACAGGTTCTAAGAAAGGAAGGAAGGAAGGAAAGACAATTTTCAATAGCTGTATGAGAAATCCCTTTTGTTTTTTAAAGGCCACTGTAGTTCAGCCACATTACACAGAGGTAGTGATTACGTTTCAATTTACCTCACTGATCTGTTGTGCATTGACCTTGGCCAGGACAACCGGGGGCGGGTCAGGTATACTGGTAAATTTCAGTGCATCTGGGCGTAGTTTGTACAGCCTCTCATTTACGAGATCTTGAGCTCTTTTCACTCTGACCACATCCACCGAGCCTTCCGGCATCCATCCTATCCCACGGAGCCATTCCAGATCAGATTTATACAAATTCTATGAGACAATGGACCACAAAAGAAGAATAAAATGATTAAGTTCATATTTTAGCAACTATTTAATTTTCTAGAATTAATAGGATATCAAAAAGTCCTGACTAATATGGTTCATTTATTTTTAAATGGATTAATCCTCCGTATAAAACAACAAAAATGCAAAATAAGTCAAATTAGATATTGGAACAAAGATACCCAAAAATTAAAATGTATTAATAACCATGGTTAAGTAGGCAGAAAACATAATTAACTCATGGCATGATACACCAATGATTCCTAATAACTATTCTTGAATCAATTAATATAAATAAATTCATAAAACTCCCCAAATTCAAGAGTTCAGTGCAACATAAGCAAGGAAATTTAAAAAGGATCTTAGACTCTGCCCAATTGATTTGTCATAAATTTCTTCTGCGTATGATCACTTCAGAAAACCAAACTACATTTGAAATTCTTATCTCTGTGATAAACATTTTAAAATATTTCATCTATCAGCATGGTGTTCTGGTAGGGCTGCAAAGGCTAGCTACACTCAATGAAGACCTCAGTGAAGGAACAATGTCTCTGCTGACTTTCTGGCATATGTAATCAAGGAAATAAAAGTAGAATTAAGATACTTTTTAAGGGCACCTTCTAAAACTTGCGTTCTTCAGAAATGGGGATTGGCGTGGCAGGGAGAAAGTTATGTCGGTCGGGATAATGGAAGCTGAAGTGCAAAGTATCTGTTCTACAGCTACACACTTCAAGGTCTCTTTTGTTCTGTGTCTGCCCATGATGCATGTACATATATATCTTGTAAACCACTGGTGTACTTACATCGCTCTGAAGTTCATACGCTTTCTTTGCTTGGATCACATCGTTCTGATCTGGCAGACAAGACCACTCGTGTAGATAACGATGGTAATCAATGTCGCTGGCTATAGCCTGCCCTTGCTTGGCTGCCTGGATAGCCACCATTTCGTAGGGAATGGTGATCTTGGCTTTTGAACTGTGGTATGCTTGCTTATAGAGACGGTCATTTTGCATCTTCATTACTCGAGCAGCCCATGAAAGCTTAGGATCCTCCTTGACTGACGGGGTTCCAATATAATGACCTTTCTGTTTCTCATAAGTTTGTTTGTATTTATACTGAAGAGGAAAGCATAGAGAAGAACCATGATTAGGGGTAGGCATCAACATATTATATAGTTTATTAAAGCATTATAAAACAATATTTAAAAATTGTCACTTCTCCTTTAAAAGGGTGGCTTAAAATAACATATTTAATACATGGAAAGTGCTCTGTGAATAAAAGATTCCCTTTCAAATCAGACACTATATAAATTAAACATTTCATAGTTATCTCACTGGTAGTTCCAAGTAAAAATTGTTTTCATTTGTTTTAAAATATTTCTACAGCAAGCGATAAGAAAAATAATGGTGTAAAAAACATCAAAACAGTAGGATACCTTGTATGTGGTTGAATCAATATAAAGTTTAAATAAAATTCCACATTATTACCAGATGGCTAATGTGAAAAGATTCAGTGGTATATTTAAACAATAGGCTTCATACCTCACTAGCAATTTCTCTGGAAGATTTTGCATGCTTGAATGAAAGAGCGTCAACTTTAAAGTCATAGCCTTTTGCTTTGGCCTCATCCCAGGCTCCAGTATAATGTTTCTGCAATTAAAATATATGCATAATTTTCATTGCTGCAAGAAAATATACTACAAACATTCCTCAATTAAACATGAAGTCCTATGCACATTTACTCAGAAATAAATCTCATTATGTTTAATTGACTGTTCTTCAGAAGACATCTGTAGACAAATGCAGTGCAATATATGAAAAAATTGAATTTTCAAAATAAATAATAGGACGGCATGCATAAATTCAGTATACATTTGCATGCATATTTATGGATGCACACATGTTAAATAACTTATAACAAATTTTACTTGTTTAATATCTATACTATGAATTGATATTAATAGACCAAAATGGAATTTATTATGAATTTACAATAATATAACTATGCAAGAAGGGGAAACGTAACACTTAAAATAACAAAACTCTGTTCCAAAACACAATGGTTTTTGGTACACTAAGAACATCTTGTAAGTTTGTGGTTCTTTTTAATAGACCTCTCACCCAAAGTTAAAAACAAAAACATCTCCCTTGTGCCATCTCAAAATCCTCTCAATGTCTTCAGAAGCTATTGATCATGATATCCTTCCAGGTTGACAGACAAGGTTGGGAGAAGAAAGATGCTGTTCTTTAGTGGGTCACATTTTTCCATGGCTGATTTTGGGGGGGGGGGAGTCTAGCCCAAAACCTCTGCTCTTTGGGTTGCACAGTGTTCTGTTTTTTCCACACTTCTAATTAACTTCTACATCAGAAGTTGGATGATTTTACCCATTGGCATAAGTTGAAGTTTTATCAATGGGATGAAGACACTCAATTGTAGATCTCAGTCATGTGCCATGCAATGATGCAGTGCCTGGTGATTTGCAAATTGGAAGGGGAAGAACTGGCTTGACTAAATCACAACCCACCCGAGTAGTTATAGATTTTATGGCCACCCATATCTCGTAATTTTCCATTGTTAAATCTAAATGGGAGAATAGTCCCCAAGACAGAGTAGATGCACAATGTTGGCATCCTTCAGGATACACCAATTCTGCTCAAAGAGCAGGTGGCTGCTATGGCCCGGAGGGCCTTTGCACAAGTATATCTTGTGTGCCAGTTCCACCCATTTTTAGACTGGACATTCATGACTTACTCATCTCCCAGTAGAGAAATGTGCTCTGCTTTTGAAAAGAAATCTGAAGGTTCAACTGCTCCTGGATATGGTGGCACATACAGCGTTGGGAGACTCGCATAAGTACACTTATATAACACCACAGCTACGTTAACTGCACTGGTTGCCAGAAGGCTTCTGGAAGCAATTCCAACTATTGTTGCCATTAACTCCTTATTTTGCTAAGGACAAGGTTACTTGTGTACTCTTTCTGGTGGTTTCTACCTATCCTACCAGATCTGGGCCCTTTGGTGAGGCAATATATGATAGGGCCTAGGAAGAACCCAGGAAGCAAGACTTCCCTGTCATGAACAGCTTCTTCCAAAGATACATTCAACTCCAACCTTACTTACCTTTCAGAAGGCCACAGAGACTTGGCTCTTCCCCCAGGCATTGGGGTGAGGAGGTTACTATGGGACACCTGGTATGGATGCATGTTGTAGGCATTTTTCATTTTTAATGAGAGAGCCTCAACCTATGTTTTGCCATTCTTGTTTTATTGTTAATATCTACATTGTATTTTGGTTGCCCAGAGTTTCATCTGATAGATGATTAGCTGTCTAAATTTGATTATAAACTAACAAATAAAATTATCTTACATGGCTAGCATTCACAGCATTCATCTTGGAGAGCAGTATTTCAGGGGTATCGAGAGGAATATTAATCTGGGCCTTCTCTTTATCCCATGCCTCACGATACAGGTTCTAAGAAAGGGAGAAAAGAAAGACAGTTTTCAATTGCTTTGTGAAAATCCTTCTAATTTTTTAAAGGCCACTGTATTTCAGCCACGTTACACAGAGGTAGTGACTACATTTCAATTTACCTCACTGATCTGTTGTGCATTGACCTTGGCCAGGACAACCGGGGGCGGGTCAGGTATACTGGTAAATTTCAGTGCATCTGGGCGTAGTTTGTACAACCTCTCATTTACGAGATCTTGAGCCCTTTTCACTCTGACCACATCCACGGAGCCTTCCGGCATCCATCCTATCCCACGGAGCCATTCCAGATCAGATTTATACAAATTCTATCAGACAATGGATCACAAAAGAAGAATAAAATGATTAAGTTCATATTTTAGCAACTATTTAATTTTCTAGAATTAATAGGATATCAAAAAGTCCTGACTAATATGGTTCAATTATTTTTAAATGGATTAATCCTCCTTATGAAACAAAACAATCAAACTAGATAAGAGAACAAAAATACCAAAAATTCAAATGTGTTAATTATTCTGATTAAGTAGGCAGAAAAACTTTTAAGGCCTGGCATGTACACCAAATATTCTAAACAACTCTTTCTGAATCATTTTAAGTACATGCATATAATGCCCTAAATTCAAAATAAATTTATTTAGTTCAATTTATGCCAGCAAATTTGAAAAGGCTATTAGAAGGTGCCGATTGGTTGTTCAAAGGCTATTTAGAGTTATCTACACTTTGGGAAGCCAAAGCCCATTTAAAATTGTTATCTCTGTGGTCAACATTTAAAAATATATCCATCATCACAGCATGGTATTCTAATATATCGTGCAAAGGTTAGCTACATTCAATGAAGACTTCAGTGAAGGAACAATGTCTCCGGTGTCCTTCAGATATAGGCAATCAAGGAAATAAAAATAGAATTAAGATAATTTTCAAGGGCACCTTCTAAAACTTACATTTTTCAGATATTGGGATTTGCGTGGCAGGGAGAAACTTATGTGGGTCTGGATAATGGAAGCTGAAGTGCAAAGTATCTGTTCTACAGCTACACACTTCAAGCTCTCTTTTGTTCTATGTCTGCCCATGATGCATGTACATATATCTTGTAAACCACTGGTGTACTTACATCGCTCTGAAGTTCATACGCTTTCTTTGCTTGGATCACATCATTCTGATCTGGCAGACAAGACCACTCGTGCAGATAACGATGGTAATCCACGTCGCTGGCTATAGCCTGCCCTTGCTTGGCTGCCTGGATAGCCACCATTTCATAGGGAATGGTGATCTTGGCTTTTGAATTGTGGTATGCTTGTTTATAGAGACGGTCATTTTGCATCTTCATTACTCGAGCAGCCCATGAAAGTTTAGGATCTTCCTTGACTGATGGGGTTCCAATATAATGACCTTTCTGTCTCTCATAAGTTTGTTTGTATTTATACTGAAGAGGAAAGCAAAGCAAAGAACCATTGAAATAATTAGGATAATGCAGTGTGTGAAAATTGGTATTTTAACAACTGGGGGACCTTGAATAAAGGAAAGGTAGATTTCATTATTAAGAGGGTACCACTGATTAGATTTTGAATGCATGTGTCTTTAGGAATGTTGTTTTGTAGGTTAGGCATTAACATGATATTATATTGGGTAATAAACCATTATAAAAAAATATTTAATTTATTCCCCTTTAAAATGATAGTTTAAAATTATGTATTTAGTAAATGGAGAATGCTTTTTGAATACTAGATTCCCTTTCAAATCAAACATTATACAAATTAAATTTTTCACAATTATCTGACTAGCAGTTCCAAGTAAAAAATTATTTTGATTTTAAAAATACAGTATGTCTACAAAAACATCAAAACTCTGCTGTGGGGTGCCTTGTATGATATGAAGTTTACATAGAAGTTTAAGTTTAAATAAAGTTGCACACTTTGGTAAATGGGTGATTAGAAAAAAAACGGTGGTATCAGCAGCTATACTTAAACAATAGTCCTCATACCTCACTGGCAATTTCTCTGGAAGATTTCGCATGCTTGAATGAAAGAGCGTCAACTTTAAAGTCATAGCCTTTTGCTTTGGCTTCATCCCAGGCTCCAGTATAATGTTTCTGCAATTAAACGATATACACAATTTTCAAGGCTGGAAGAAAATAAACTATAGATATTTCTTCTTAAACATGAAGTCCTATCCACATTTACTCAGAAATAAATCTCTCACTATGGAGGGATGTTGTAGTGTTTGGCATTTTTAATGAGAAAGCCTCAACCTATGTGTTGACATTCTTGTTTCATTGTTAATATCTATATTTTCTTTTGATTGCTCAGAGTTTCATCTGATAGATGACCAGCTGTTTAAATTTGATTATAAACAAATAAATTTATCTTACATGGCTAACATTCACAGCATTCATCTTGGACAGCAGTATTGATGGGGTATCAAGAGGAATATTAATCTGGGCCTTTTCATTATCCCACGCTTCACGATACAGGTGCTAAGAAAGGGAGAAAGGAAAGACAATTTTTAATTGCTGTGTGAAAATCCTTTGAATTTTCAAAGGCCTCTGTATCTCAGCCACATTACACAGAAGTAATGACTACATTTCAATTTACCTCACTGATCTGTTGTGCATTGACCTTGGCCAGGACAACCGGGGGCGGGTCAGGTATACTGGTAAATTTCAGTGCATCTGGGCGTAGTTTGTACAATCTCTCATTTACCAGATCTTGAGCCCTTTTCACTCTGACCACATCCACGGAGCCTTCCGGCATCCATCCTATCCCACGGAGCCATTCCAAATCAGATTTATACAAATTCTATGAGACAATGGATCACAAAAGAAGAATAAAATGATTAAGTTCATACTTTTAACAAATATTCTTAAATAAATAGATAGGTTGATAAATAGATAGGTTATATGGTAGATGGTATAAAGGATGTCAGAATGTCCTGACTAATGTTGTTCAATTAATTTTAAATAGTTTAATTTATGAAACAACAAAAACGAAAGACAATCAAACTAAATAAGGGAATAAAGATATCAGAAAATTCAAATCTGTTAATCATCTTGATTAAGTAGGCAGAAAAGTTATTAAGGCTTGGAATGTATGCCAATCAATTTGTACAACTCTTTCTGACTCTATTGAAGTACACTCCTTCAACACTCTAAATCAAAATAGATGATTTAATGCAACTTACTCGAGCAAGTTTAAAAAGGATAGTAGACTCTGCTCAATTGTTTGTTCAAAAGCTTCTGATATGTTTGTGTACTTTGGGAAGCCAAAGCACATCTAAAATTCCTATCTCTGTAATAAACATTTAAAAATATTTCCACCGTCACAGCATGGTGTTCTAGTAAGGCCTGCCCAAATTAGTTTCATTAAATGAAAACCTCAGTGAAGAAACAATGTCTGTTGGGACTTTTTGGTAGCTGTTATCAAAGAAATAAAAGTAGAAGTAAAATAATTTTTAAGGCACCTTCTAATACTTGTATTCTTCAGCTATGGAGAATCCTAACTTCCAGTTGGCAGGAATAATGGAAACTGAAGTGTAATAAATCTGTTCTATAGCTATATACTTTAAGGTCTCTTGTTCTATGCCTGGCATAATGCAGCTATGTGTTCTTAACAGAATAACAGAATTGGAAGGGATCTTTGAGGTCTTCTAGTCCAACCCCCTTCTCAAACAGAAGACCCTATACCATTTCAGACAAATTGCTGTCCAACAACTTCTTAAAAACCTCTAGCAGCCACAACTTCTGAAGGCAAGCCGTTCCATTGATTAATTGCTTTTACTGTCAGGAAATTTCTTCTTTGTTCTAGATTGCTTCTCTTCTTGATTAGTTTCCATCCATTGCTTCTTGTTTTGCCTTCAGCTGCTTTGGAGAATAGGTTTACCCATCTTCTTTGTGTCCCTCAAATATTGGAAGACTGCTTTCATGTTACCCCAGGTATAGGTACTTATTAGACTAGATGTATCCAAATTCTGCAACTGTTCTTCATCTGATTTTAACCTCCAGTCCCCTAATCATCAATCATATGTTGCTCTTTTCTGCACTCTTTTTAGAGTCTCAACATCTTTTTTTTATAACATGGCAATAAAAACTGGATATAATATTCCAAATGTGGTCCTATCAAGGCATTATAAAGCAGTACTAATACTTCGTGTGATCTTGATTCTATCCCTCTGTTAATGCAGCCTAGCACTGTGTTGACTTTTTTGGTGGCTGCAGCACACTGCCTGCTCATATTTAAGTGATTGTCCAATGGGACTCCAAGCTCGTCCTCACTGTTACTACTATTGAGCCAATTCTATACCTGTTCACTTTGCCTAAGTGTAAAACCTTACATTTTTCAGCATGGAACTTAATTTTGTAACTTAGGGCCCAGTATTCAAGTCTGTTGAGATCCTTCTGGATCTTGAACCTATCATCTAGGGTGTTGGCTATTCCTGCCAGAAGTATAAAATATATCTGTTCTATAGCTACACACTTCAAAGTCTCTTTTGTTCTGTGCCTGACCATGATACATCTACATATATCTTGTAAACCACTGGTGTACTTACATCGCTCTGAAGTTCATACGCTTTCTTTGCTTGGATCACATCGTTCTGATCTGGCAGACAAGACCACTCGTGCAGATAACGATGGTAATCAACGTCGCTGGCTATAGCCTGCCCTTGCTTGGCTGCCTGGATAGCCACCATTTCATAGGGAATGGTGATCTTGGCTTTTGAACTGTGGTATGCTTGTTTATAGAGACGGTCATTTTGCATCTTCATTACTCGAGCAGCCCATGAAAGCTTAGGATCCTCCTTGACTGACGGGGTTCCAATGTAATGACCTTTCTGTTTCTCATAAGTTTGTTTGTATTTATACTGAAGAGAAAAGCAAAGCAAAGAACCATTGAAATTATTAGGATGATGCCAGACAGTGTGAAAATTGGTATCTTAATGACTCAGGGACTTTAAATGAAGGAACAGGTGGATTTCATCATTAAAAAGTAACCATGCAGTAGTATTTGATCACATCAAAATTTAGGAATGTTGTTTTGTGAGTTCAGCATCAACCATATATTATAACTCATTGTAAAACAGTATATTAAAACAGTGATTTTCCCTTTTTAAAATGGCAGGAGAAAATAATATTTATTGAATTCAAAACAGTAGGGCATAAATATTCCCTTTTACTTAAAGATCTCACCTGTTATCTCTTTGGCAGTTTAGGATAAGATATGCATTAAAGTGCTTGAATTTAAGCTGATATTAAAATCTCAAATTTCGAAATATGTAAATGTAAAAAAAATGGAGGATATTGTGCAAAAATATAATATCCTCGAACAATAGCAACTGAATCTATACATGTTTTATCTGCCATCTGTTTGATATGAAACGAAACGGTAATTTTAGAAACAACATTTAAATAACAGAACTCCTACCTCACTGGCAATTTCTCTGGAAGATTTTGCATGCTTGAATGAAAGAGCATCCACTTTAAAGTCATAACCTTTTGCCTTGGCTTCATCCCAGGCTCCAGTATAATGTTTCTGCAATTAAAATATATGCACAACTTTCAGTACAGTCAAAAAAGTACTGAATGAATTACAGCAGACTACAGATATTGCTCAAAATCCTATACATATCTAATCAGAATTAAGCCAGTGGACAAAAGATGGCAGAAATCCTTGCCTTCTTAGAACACAATTAATAAATTTGGTCTGAAACACATCAAAAACTTTTTCAGTATCCAGCAAAGTTAAAACAACTAATTTCAATGTAGCATGTTGTGGTATCCAAAACAGCCATTGCCAAACAAATATTTTCAAATGCTTATCTATTTTTTAAAAATCCACACTGATATGGGTGGAGTAAGATCCATATTATTACATTCTATAACCTCTTGGCAAGTATTGCAGTTAATACTTTATCATGTACATTAAATAGAGATATTGTCGTATAACGTGCACATTTAGTACTATTTTTCTCAGGTTTTAATTTGATTGAAATATAAGCCTCATAAAAGATTTAGGAAATATATATATAGGTATTTCTGCCTATATTAAATGGTTGGTTATATACCTCTACCAGTAGAGGTGCCAATAAGTTCATAAAAGTCCTGTACTATTTAGCTTAAAATCAGATCAAGGAATCTTTCCTCTATTTATAGATCAAATATTTCCTGTAACTTATTATACCAATGGTTGTGCCAATTTATTTTTACCTTCCTAAGAGATTTCTCCCATTTCAATTATACTTCAAAAAATAATAATAATTTACTATTCAATTACAGATTTTCCCAAATCATATAAACTCAGTGTAAAAATAATAAAACTAATAATTCATTGATTCTACTTCATTTTGTAATTGACCATCAGTGTCCTGAATTATAGATATAAAATGTCATTGTTTTTGTTGTTTCAACAAATAAGACAATAATTTTCCTTCTTTCTTTCTTGATTCCCAATAGATAAGATTAATGTACTTCAAGGAATATTCAAAGAGATCCAAAAGTAATAGATTCAATTTAACCTTAGCTGCTATAAATACTTGGCATGAATCCTTTCTGTGGTTTCTCTCTAATCCTCTCTATGAAAACTTAGAATATGGATCTCTTTTTCTTCAATAATTTTATTTCCTTTTTTGCTATATTTTATTCCTACGATGTTCTTTTCTCCTATAATTACTCTATATGTGTTTGAGTATGTGCATGTATATATGCAAGTATTCTGCTGGTGTTGCAGCAATTTGTATTTTATTTAAAACTATTTTTTAAATCATCACACTACATGACTGCTTTGCATTTTATTTAAAACTATTTTTTTTAAACCATACTACATGATTGTTCAAATAAATTAATAGGACAATTTTCAAATTCCATATATGCTTCTTTGGTTCCTAAGGTTAATTGTTGTTCTTAAAATATAAATATAGAATAGACATGCAAGTTATAACTCAAAGACCTTTATGTTTTTAAGAGCAATTAACAGTAGGACAATATATTTAGGACAATGTAATAAAGGAATATTGACATTCTTAACACAATTTCTACAGTTAGTTAATTATCTTACATGGCTAACATTCACAGCATTCATCTTGGACAGCAGTATTTCAGGGGTATCTAGAGGAATATTAATCTGTGCCTTCTCATTATCCCATGTTTCACGATACAGGCGCTAAGAAAGGGAAGAAGAAAAAACAATTTTCAATCGCTGTGTGAAATTCCCTTTAATTTTTCAAAGGTCACTGTATCTCAGCCACATCCCCTTATCCTTTCACACATTACACAGAGGCAGTGACTACATTCAGTTTACCTCACTGATCTGCTGAGCATTGATCTTAGCCAAGATGACTGGAGGTGGGTCAGGAATACTGGTAAATTTCAGTGCATCTGGGCGTTGTTTGTACAACCTGTCATTCACAAGATCTTGAGCCTTTTTCACTCTGACTACATCCACAGAGCCTTCTGGCATCCATCCAATCCCACGGAGCCATTCCAGATCTGACTTGTAAAGATTCTACAAAGAAACCCATCAAGCTATTAAGATAATTCTTCCGCTTGCCAAAAACAGCACTGAGGCTACTCTACTCAAAATTAATGTATAATTACTCTTATCTTAACACAGTACCATTCAGTTGGCATAAATGTGGTGCCATATATGTATTTATTTAGTTTTTATTTATCAAAGGTTTATACAGTTGTCCATGGGTGGCTTACAAACAATAATAAAACCTAAAAGGCATAAAAAGTTTCCTCATACTAGCTTGTGAGGATATTTGAAAAATTAATTCCTCTTTCTAAGCTGCATAGTTTTTACTAGGGTCAGTTACAGAAAACTGTACATTTTGTAAAGTAACTGCTTATGATAACCCTATTCAATGCAGAGCAGCACAGATACGTCACAGCTTTACCTATTTTTTATACCAAAATATGGTTAAATTTAAAACAAATGGTCAATAGACAGAAATAAAGAAAAAAATATAATTCTGTGCAAATGATTCTCTGTTTATGGATAGCCGTTCTGTTCTATTTAACATTCAATCACAAATGGGATATGATTTTTTTTTCTTTTATGATGATAATCGCTGCACATTGCCAAGAACGATGCAGGGCTTGAGTTATTGTAGATGCAACAATAATAATTCAACAAATGCAGTATGAGACTAAATAAGCTAAGAGGCAAAAACTATAATGTAAGATGTAGTAACTTTCTACTCACATCACTCTGCAACTCATAGGCTTTCTTGGCTTGGATGACATCATTTTGATCAGGCAGACATATCCATTCATGGAGGTTGCGGCGATAATCAATGTCACTAACCAGTTTCTGACATTTCTTGGCCAACAAGATGGACAACATGTCCACTGGGCTATTAAACTTGGTTTTAAACTTCTCAAAATGTTTCTTGTACTCCCTCTCACTCTGCAATTTGGCTACACGAATTGCCAGCACTAGCTTGGGATCATCATAGATGTTCCGGAATCCAACGTGGTGTCCCACTTGCTTACGGTAACCTTCTTTGTACTTGTACTAATGATGAAACATAAACAAAACATCAATTTATAAACTACACATAATCAATTATTAAAATTACATTTCAACACTGTGTACACTGCATTGTGGCCTCTTTTTATATAGTTAAGGTCTGCCAACAGCCAATACCTGATGAATAAACTGTAAGCAATGAAACTGACAGCTATGGTTTTATTGCCAGGATTCTATATGATCCTTTTGGACATACTTATAAAAAATATGGACAAAATATTAACTATTTATTTTACAGAAGATGAAATAACTGTGGAAATGCCAAAGAAGAGCAGACCATACCTCACTAGCAATATTCCTAGAAGCCTTGGCTTGCCGGATTTCAATGGCATCCAATCTTAAGTCATAGCCTCTCTTCTTCATCTCCTCTAATCCAAGTTGATAATGTTTCTGTGAAGGAAAATAAATAATGCATTTCAAGGCATGTCATATTTATAAAAAAAATATGTAATATTGGTTTATATGTTATATCATATCATAGTATATTAAGATCTTTGGGCAGCAAACAATGGTAAATTTATGGGATTGTCCTGATAGGGAAATGCTTTTCATGTTTCTCTTGCTCTCAAAGGTACTCTCACATTATCAAATTTGTGCTTATATAATTGTAAATTTGGAGAGTGTCATAAACTGTCAAAGGAGATTTATCCTCGGAAGAGGAAGAAGCATAAGGAGAGACCATGGAAACAAATTCACATTTAATTCTTTAATTTCTTACTTTACTGTAGTTCACAGAATTTGCTTTGGACAGAATGATCTCAGGAATGTCAATTGGAAGGGTGTACTGTGTTTTTTCTTTATCCCAAACTTCACGATATAAAGCCTGAAGGGAGAAAAACATATTTATCATATTTATAATGAGAACATATCATATTATTGGTAGGATATATTTCATTGACAAAAATATCCTCATTTGAAGTTGGACATATTGACGTTTTAATCGTTTTAGAATTAGGGTTACACTCAACTTTTTGGCTTCAAGAACAGAATAAGCTCTGCAAAAGAACTGATAATTCATGGGAAGGTAGAACTGAAAGCAATGGGTCCAAATCACCAGAGCTGTAAAAGACTTTGACAATGCTACACTGACAGTGAGCAACCAATCTGGCTTCATCTTACCTGCAATAAATTTTCCTATATAGCTAAACAATATCTATGAAATATCTGCAGAGTTCTGGCCAAGAAAACAATAAATATACCACAAGCTTAGCTGTGTGATATACTTAATGCCAAGTCCTGATCAAGAAAGCCTGCTAAAACTACCAGTGACTGAATGGAATTTAGGTAGACTTAAAATATCCAAATCTGAAGCAAAAGATAAATCCCTTGTAAGTCCATTAATTTAAACTGTGGGAAAGACCCCATGCAAGTAGTGCTTGATTTACAACTAGTCACTTAGGGACCTTACAAAGATCTGGCAGATCTGCCTAAGAGTTAATTATGACTTGGATTCGAGGTTCTGATGGTTGTCCACCATCAGAAACTCGGGCACTTGGCAGGCCACATTCAGGGTCATTTGCAGTGTCCTGTAGTCACGTGATTGCATTTTGTGATGTCAAACTGGCGTTTGCTTCCATTTTTTTGGCAAAACCAATCCCATAGAGAACCACTGGTTTGGTTAACGACTGCAGCAGTCACTCAACAACTGCCACAGAAAGGACTGCCCACGTGATCTTTATGACCACCACAATTTACAAATTGTAATGGGCAGGTCCCATTATGGTTATAACTGAAGCACTACTACTATATGCATCTTTGGTCCTGTTCCTATTGTCTAAGAATTAAGCCTTCATTTAGATTAACAATGACCCAGTTTCTTCAGTGTAAGAAGTTCTAAAGAAGTAGTCAATATTTCTATGGGCAATATGGAAGATGGGTTGTGGGTATATAGAACATTGGAACAGTGATTTTAATTTAAAAAATCCTTCACGTTTGCTTTTTCACACACATTTTTCTACCACACCGAAATAAAAATGCATGAAAAATATGTCTTATACTTTTATAAAAACAAACAAAACTCCAAAAAACTGTCTTCTAAAACAAAATATGTAAGGTTCCCCTTCCTTTGCAATCTTTCTAAAAATATTTTCCATTTAATGTTTAAACGGATCTACAGTTACAACTAAAGCTGGTGCAAGCTGGTAGTGCTTGGATTTTTTCCCCCAAAGTTAAGCTTTTTCTGTTTTCAATGACAATATTTTTCATGGTGGACGCTTATCCTTCTACGTCAATCTAGCAAAGTAGCAATCAACAAAACTGCAGCATTTGCTCTTTTTTCGGGTGCTCACTGACATAATAGAAATGTATCTCACTTCAGTGTTATTGAATGTTGATTTTAAATAGAGACATGTGGCCCCCAAGTAACTGGTGCATGACAAATAATGCTCACCCCACTCTGCATCAAAGCATTGGCCTTAGCCAGGACAACTTCCGGGGAATCAACAATAGCTGTGAATTTCAGAGAATCTGGCCGCTGCCGGTACATTCTTTCATTCAGCAGATCCTGGGCATTCTTCACTCGTCGGACGTCCACAGAGCCTTCTGGTATCCAGCCAATTCCACGCAGCCATTCCAAGTCTGACTTATACAAATTCTATAAAAAGAAAAAAGAAAAAGAAAAATCAAGCATTTCCTTGGCAGAACATAAGTTCTGGGCTAGTCCAAGTAATGTAAGTTCATCAGGGTAATGAATGCCTTCATCAATCTTCCCAACTTCTTTTCCAGTAAAGATATTCATACTTATTTCATCAGAGATCATTCCTGTTGAAATAAAAGGCAACTCCCATAATAAAAAAATAAACGTTGACAAAATTGTTACGGTATCGGTCAATTACAAAAGGCGGGATTACTTGAAACCACCTACATCCTGCGACAATAACTTTAGCATCATCAAACAGCAGCATCTATCTATTTGAGGTCCTTGGGAAGGACTTGGTAGGTGTATAAAAATGACAAATTCAGTCTAAATATCTGGCTGATCGTGTGACCAACCATATTAAAACATTTCCCTATCTCAAGTCCCTGGAAAGGATTTGATAGGTGGACAAAAATATGAAATCCAATATAAATCTCTGGCTGACTATGCAACCATATATGCTGCCTGAATCTCATCGACTATGGACTATCTACTGTATGCTACTGAAACACTTGGAAGCAGATTCTTTTACAATGCCACAGGTGACATATATTATTCCAGCAATGCAAAAGTATTACATAATTTTAATTTTTTTTAAATGGACTTAAAAGAAAACCAAGAGAGCCACTTTGGTTGGTAGTTAAGGCATCAGGCTAGAAATCAGGAAACCATCAGTTCTAGTTCTTGTACTTGGGCACAAAGCCAACTGGGTGATCTTGGGCCAATTCTTAGGAAGGGGACAAGGGCAAATCATTGCCAAAGAAACTTACCAAGAAAACTGTAGGACCTAATCCAGACAGTCATCCGAAGTCAAAAATTGACTTAAAGGCACACAAGTGTGAGTGCCCACCCTCACACACACACACACACACACACACACACACGGCTTACTTCCAAACAAATTCATAGATTTGCAAATAACAGAACAATGGGTTTAATAAAGCTTCTTCCAGAGTCAGGGGATAAATTGCATTCAGAGATTTGCTGTGAGACATTTCTCCATCTTGCTGGAAGTTGTACTATTATCCACTTTGCAGCTGCTCCATTCTCAGGAAGGGATTAATTTGGGGACTTTTTGCATGCCTGTCACATGTTCTTTCACTAAACAATAATACCACTCAGATATATGCATTTTACATTTGAAGTGTACGTACATCACTCTGGAGGTCATACGCTTTCTTTGCTTGAATGACATCATTCTGGTCTGGCAGGCAAATCCATTCATGCAAGTGTTTGCGATAGTCCACATCACTAACCAACTTCTGACAATTCTTAGCATCTAAGATTGATAGCATGTCAACAGGACAATGAATCTTTGCTTTACATTGTTCAAAGTTCTTCTTGTACTCCAGATCACTCCGAATCTGGCCTGCATGGGCAAACCACACCAACTTAGGATCATCTTCAAATCTTTGAACCCCAACATAATGCCCTTTTTGCTTTTCATGTGCTTCTTTGTATTTGTACTGTAACAGAGAAGAATACATGTTGGAATGAATATAAATGCTACTAGGAACACTAACAATGATTGAGCTACTAAAGTCATAGAAATCAAGAGAAGGAGGCCAATTTGGATTCAGATTTCTTCAAAACATCATATTGTTTCAACTGTTGTCAACTGTTGACTAATATTTTTGTGATATTTGGATATCATTGTAAAATATAATAAAAATCCCTTTGTACCAAGGTATCAGAAGGGTTCTTAATATCCACTTTTCTACAACAGTTTTCTACACAGTTTTTGTGTGTCAGTACTTTGCCTGACACACAAAATGACAAAATCAAATAGGAAAGTAGATTTTTTTCATCTTCCAGACATCTTTTTATTTACCACAGTGGTTCTCAACCTTTTTAATGCCACGACCCCAACCGGTCGTAAGTCGAGGACTAAACCGGTCGTAAGTCGAGGACTAAACTGGTTGTAAGTCGAGGACTAAACCGGTCGTAAGTCGAGGACTACCCAACCGGTCGTAAGTCGAGGACTTTCCCTGCCCGGGAGTGCCGCGCATGCGTGGTTCCGCCCCTGCGCCGGCCGAGGCGTAGCTGGCAAGCGGCAGGTCGACCACCAGCTGGCCCAGCTCAAGGGAGGTAAGGCACCCGCCAGAAAAGGGAAAAAAATGGCGGACAGCCTTGCTTGGCGACCCCCGTGAAATGGTCGATCGACTCCAAATGGGGTCGCGACCTATAGGTTGAGAACCGCTGATTTACCAGAAAGGAATCCTAGATGAGCATTTAAAGCATTGAACTAAGAAACCCTGCTATCCGTATTATTTGGGCTGGGAGAAATAATGCATCCTAATGCCAAAAATCAATAGATGGTATTTTAAATTAATCTCCCTAAGTTCTTGCCATTTATAGCCATTAGACATATAACCTTGTTATATGTCATTCTGAGTCAACCTAATGAACTTTTCTAAAGGTCCTCTGTCTATTCCATTAATATTTTTTTTATTTCTGTAGCTTCTTCTTAAAAAAAAAATAGGGAAGTCCCTGGACAGGAAAGCATCTACTCACATCACTAGCAATATCCCTCGAAGCTTTTGCCGCTTTAATTGAGATAGCATCAGTTCTCAGGTCATAACCTTTCTTCTTAGCATCTTCCCATCCTTGGACATAAAGTTTCTGTAGAGGATGCGATAAAAAGATACTTGACTGTAAAATCACATCTAAAATTTAAAATCAATTTGTTCATATAGTCGTATTAGTTCTTGTAAAGTGAACATAACCCCCCCCCAAATTATTAAATATTCAAACAATGTTAACACGCACTTACATGGCTGATATTTGCAGAATTTGCCTTGGCGAGCAGAATTTCTGGGGTATCCGGCATGACATTGGTTTTGATTTTATCAGCATCCCATGCTTCAGTGTATAGTTTCTGTGAAAGGAATAAGAGGGGGAAAAGTTTGCTTTTTGCCTACAGAAAATATGAATTGAAACAGAACATGAGGCTATAAAATTAGAAAAAATCATATTCATTAAAATGTTATCTGAAACTTGTAATGAAACTAAGTGAGGGAAATTTCTAATTCAATCAACTATGCTTCAAAGTCATATGTACCATATGGTAAACTATATTTTACAGACATTTGTTGTTGTTAGTTGCGAAGTTGTGTCCGACCCATCGCGACCCCATGGACAACGTTCCTCCAGGTCTTCCTGTCCTCTACCATCTTCTGGAGTCCATTTAAGCTCACGCCTACTGCTTCAGTGTTAGTCATTATTAACACATTTTTTCTAGCTCAGATTTTGTGGCTGAATATATTTAAAAGGACTCCTGCGTTCAAGACCTGAGAGGTCAAGTTTATTAAGGAAAGTCAACAAAGAACATCTGAATTCTCCAATTTTCTAAAGAAATCCCCTTTGGGCCTGAGGCAAAGCACATGTGCTCCAAGACTTAGAAAAAAATGCAGATAGATTTCAATACATCAAAGCAGCATCCACATCAAAACTTGCCTTTGGTAGAAACTCCTTAAGATACTTTGATTCATATGCCAAAAACTACCACAGACATTTTGAGAGATTAGTGGATTTTGTGGTTTATTGCATGTACAATTCCATAATTTCAGCTCATTTGTCATGGTGAAGTAATCCCTTCTTTGTCTGTACATTCCTATGCCCATGCTGCTATTTTTTCCTCTTAGCTGCGATATTTTGTATATTAGTTTTTCAACACAATCAATAGTCACACTGGCTGGAAATTATGAGAGCTGTGATCCGTGGTGAGATTCAAATATGTGAACAACCGGTTCTCTGTGTAGATGCCGTTTCTGGAAGTCTGTTCTGGGCCCGGGCAACAAAAAAATAGCTACCGGTTCTGCCAAACTGGTGCAAACCGGCTGAATCCCACCACTGGCTGCGATCTGACTGGTTTGGAAGTCAAATTTCTTAACTAGCAAAATAGTTCATTGATCCACTAATGAACAATGGTGGACAGCTTTCCTTCCCTACGTGTATTCAAGCAGAAACTAGAAAGACATCAGCGAAGGATGGTTTTATTTGGATTTTGACTCCGAGCAGGCTAAATAAATCCTAAATTTAGGATGTGATCATTCCATTTCCTAAGCAAATTATCATCTGTTATGGAAGAAACAAGCTATTCTTGTTCAGAAAACCTACCTTGTTCATCATCTCAGCATTATGCTTTGCTAATTCTACATCCCAAGCATCTGTGATACAGGTAAATTTCATTTGACTAGGTGGTTGCCGATATTTGTTTTCACTTAGGATTTCTCCAGCTTTCTTGACATGTTCAACATTCAGTGAACCAAGAGGCACCCAGCCAATGCCTTTCAACCATTCTAGATCTGACTTGTAAAGAGCCTGAAACAATAGATTGTGTTTAGAGAAGTCAACAAACATGCATTATAACCAATTTTTTTTGGGGGGGAAACATTTCTAGCTAATTGAATTATGAATTTGATTTTAAAAACTTCAGGTGAGAAATGATCTATGATGCTGAAATTCACCTAGAAATGACTCAATTGATTTTCAGCAGCTTTACGTGTTATAAAATATGAATAAGCATCATGATATGCATATTTAAGGAATAATGATGACAGCCAAAACTATATTAAGTGTAATGCTGCAATTAACTATCCATTTAGAGCAAATGAATAAATATAAAAAAATCAAATAATAATGTCAAGCAGCTGAATCCCAACTCATCTTTAATATGTTTATTTATTTATTTTTTATTTTCAATCCAAAATAAAACCCAAAACCTAGTCATACTTTAAAATTCATAAGTGAACTGTATAAAACAGTTATCCCGGTACTAAGTCATATTATGAAAAATGCATATAATGTGCAAAGTTTTAAAAAAAATCTTTGCAAAAACTATTATTAGGCATAAAATATTCTCTTAGGAGAACATTTTACATAGAACCACATGTAAATTTTAGTGCAAGCTTATTTTTTAAAACGCCGAAGTGAACATGATAACAGTACAAAAGAAAGTTAAGAAACCATGAGAATATGAAATTGATAGATCTGTGAACTACCAATGAGAAATAATAAGAAATTAAACATGCTAATAAGATGGGAAAGGAAAAAACTGGCAAAGCCTATTTTACCTCTGATTTTCAGGGGGGGAAAGTACTCTTCTAAATTGAAACAGTATGAATTGAAATTCAAACTGAGTTGAGTGACCTGTGATACACAAGTCATTACAGTGTGTAATATCAAGAGGAAAACTTCCTCAGTATTTAAATATATCTTTCAGCTGACAGAATGATCTTCCTAAAAAGGACACATGGACAAGTCCTTCCCACATGTAGCATCCTGTATTCCACATCAGTCTATTTCAGATATTTGAGGAATCATTTGGAACTGCAAGGGCAGGCTAAGACAGAGTTGTTGGGAGAGAAGGAAAGCTTCAAATATTTTCCCACTCTGTCCTGCACACATGACCTTTTAATGAATCACTGACCAAACTCAGTAGAATACTGATGCCTCCATTTTACATTAAAATCATGTTTACCACCTCATACTTACATCACTCTGCAGATCATAAGCTTTCCTAGCTTGGATGACATCATTTTGATCTGGTAGGCAGGTCCACTGGTGCAAATAATTGCGATAATCAATATCGCTAACCAGTTTCTGGCAATTCTTGGCCCCCAAGATCGACAGCATATCCACAGGGCTGTTATATTTGGTCTTCAGTTTCTCAAAGACTTTCTTATATTCTCTCTCACTTTGCATCTTGGCCACATTTATAGAATGCATAATTTTAGGATCGTCTTCTACGCTACGAGCTCCAATGTGATGGCCAAGTTGCTTGCGATAGCCTTCTTTGTATTTGTACTGAAATATACACAAATATTTACATTACCAACACAGAAAAGTATTTGTTCTGTGCTTGTTCAGTAATTCTTTTTTTAAAATGTTTTATTATTATTATTTTAAAAATACCATTTCTACATTGAACAGTGTGTTGTCTAGGTATACAAGTATTAAAATATAATAATCATCATAATAATCTTATCAAAATACAATCATATACTAGGAAATAGCAATCAAATTGTTAAAAATAGTATTACCCGTATTAACATTAGTTATACAACAATCAAAGTATTTACTAACCATTATAAATCTTGCTCACATAATCCACATATTCTCATATTTCCAACTTTCTAACCTGTGTTTTTATCAGCTAACCATTGGTAAAATGGTTCAGTAATTCAATTAGATCATCATTTTAAAACTAATTAAAATAAATCTTTTCTATAAACCTATAAGAAAACTGTTAGGAAAAACGGATTCACTCATCCAATTTTAGATCATAGTTAAAGATTATATGTTTTATTATTTGTTATTTCTTTTTTAAAAATTCCCCCTTCTGTTCTTGAAGTCAATATATTAGATTACATTTATCAAGGTTATATATTTAGGTTTTTTGTCATGTTAAGCTAGCTATGTCTTTTTTTATTAATGATTTTCCTCATCAAATTTGAAAGTTGTATTTGGCATGCAAAGTCTTCTTCTATCTATAGTCCACTGAATTCATAGGTTTAAATAATTAAGCAATTTCAAATAATTCAAGGTGTTAGTCCTACCATGCAGAATATTTAAATTTTCCTCCTCCAAACAGATTAAAATGTATACATAAATGTCCACCAAAACGAGAAATCCAGATACACCCTGCATCTGAAAATACATCCTACAGTAATTCCTCTAAAGTTATTGTCTAGCTTTATAGCTGCCCATATCTCTCTTCTCAAGTCTATTCTCAGCTGCCTGTACAATAGCTGAGGTTTTCTGGCATTATTTCTGCAAAACTTGCTTACTTATAGAATGTATTTATTTATTACAAGTGATTTTATTCTGCTTCAGTCATTTTGACTCAAAGCAGCTTACAAGTAGTGACACAATTCCTCAGTGCTGCTAAGAAAGAACCACAACTGTTCGTTTTGATTTTGTAATTCACAGTATGAATTCCTTCCCAGAAACTCTCAGTCACTGGGAAGTGATTTGAAGTATTTCCTGCAATAATTTTTATGTTCACTACGATATGCAGTAGTTTGTGACTTGCTGTTTTTTAAAACATTTCTTTTAAAAAATATTGCTATTTAGGGAGTCAAGTAGCCACTTACATCACTGGCAATAGCTCTTGAAGCCTTGGCAGCTTGAATTGGGATGGCATCAAGACGCAGGTCATAGCCATCTTTCTTTGCTTCCTCCATGGCCAGTCGGTACAATTTCTGTAAAAAAAGAAAAGAAAAGCCTAGTTTCAGTGCTGCACACAGAAATAAATAAAACATCCTATACCAGTGATGGCGAACCTTTTAGAGACCGAGTGCCCAAACTGCAACCCAAAACCCACTTATGCATCGTCGGGTGCCAGGTGGGTGTGCTCCATTGGGTGGGTGTGCCCCATTGGGTGGGCGTGGCTGCAGTGGTAACAGCAGACTGGGTGGGACTAAAAAGTTCAATCAATCAATTCCAACTTTGCAAGATCTTTTTTTTTCAGTGAGAAGTTGAAATTGACTGATTGATTGAACCTCTTTTTTTTGTACATGGTGGCAGAGGCCTAAAGCGAAAAGGTTTTATAAAACCCAGCTGAAGGCCTAGGACTGGGGTGACGGCGCACGTGCCCACAGAGAGGGCTCTGAGTGCCGCCTCTGGCACCCGTGCCATAGGTTCGCCACCACTGTCCTATACTTTTATCAGAAATATAATTCTCAATTGTAGATGGAAGTTCTTTGGTGCGACCCAGGAACTGAATCTCCACAGAACCCAATTAGGAGATCACTGTAGGAAATGTTGCCATTGCTTGCAAATCCTCGAAGGAAACTCAATTTTTCTAGTGGCTTTTACTTATTTCTATACTCACCTGGCTATAGTTTAATTTGTTGAACTTTGCTAGGACAATTTCTGGCGTATCAGGCATGACATGGATTGTGCATTTATCAGTATTCCAAGCTTCAGTATACAGCCTCTGCAGAACAGAATCAGAAAGAGAGTTAGCACAAAGTGATGGCTGTTTATGAATAGTTCTCCAATCATCTGGCTGTTGCAGCATAGAGACTATCTTCTGAGATCAAATTAAAAATCTGCTGAGCAGGAAAGACACTACTCAGAACAAGAGTAATGTGTGAATGTTTAGGACTCATATTCCGGAGGAAAATCCAGATTCAAAATGTTGTTCAGTCAGGACTGTGTGTGAAGTTTGACATTTGCTTTCCTTCAGTTTTATCCTTCTTTTAGATTTGTTAGTGTCAATCCCACTTTAAGGATGCCAGATTCTAAATCCCTGGCTTCTTACAACTCATCAGAATTGTAAATAAAACTCCTAAAAGTATCAGCTGAATATTATGGAAATTCCCATTCAATGCAGAAGGCATCAATTTATGGAAAGGCAGTCAGTACTTATCCAGCAACAATTAATATCTTAAGCCCCACATTATTTCATTTAAAAAGTTATAGGATATCTCAAACATGTGTATGGATAATGAGATGGACAGCATATAAATTTAATAAAAATAATATAAATAAATTAAATGGAAATCACTGGGACTTGAAAAAAGCTTTAGATTAATTCTGACCTTTTGAATTTTATTTGAAATCACCAAATATATTTCTATAACTATAATAAGATAAGGTTGCTTTATTAGTTGAAAGAAAAAATGCTCACCTTCTTCATATTTGAAAGCACCCAATTATTTCAATTATGACGCTTATAAAATACAATGTTTAAATCTATGGAAAATGGGAATCATTGTGTCTGAAAAGAACGTTTGACAAATTGCGTTCTTTTTTCAAATATTATTCAGAAAGCCCGTCTTTATTAGTTGATATTCACCTTGTTCATGGTTTCAGCATTATGCCTGGCCAATTCCATTTCTAGAGAATCTGTCACACTGGTGAATTTGAAACTCTCTGGAGGCTGGCGGTACGTCTTTTCACTCAGGATCTCTCCTGATTTCTTAGCATGCTCAACATCCAGTGAACCAATAGGGACCCAGCCAATGCCTTTCATCCACTCGAGGTCTGCTTTGTAGTAATTCTGTGAATTAATAGTTCATTAGAAAGGTCATCTTGCATTTTTGGAAAAACAATTGGATCTAATGACACTTATGACACATTATGTTCACGTTGATGAGAGAAATGTAAAAAAATAAAATAAAACTTGAAAACCATGAAAATATCCAAGGTCTCAGTCATGCTCAAGTGACTCCTAATCTCAGCCTCTGCTTGATATAAAAGATAAAACATGTCAGCATGTGAAAAAAAATACTATTTGGATTTTTTTAAAAAAACAAAGCTTTAGAAGACACTAATAATATTAGTTTCATGGTTTTCAAGAGTTTTGTATACTTCTCTAATATACACTTACAGAAAGAGATAAGGCCATTAAGCAACAGAGCAACTTAGATGAAGAGTCTGATCTGGTTATTCATGCATCTGTTTGGGTTAAACAATTAAATTCCACTACTATCAATATTTTTATTATATGTGCGCGTGGCAGAAATGTGCTTAAAATATTATACTTTCCTCTCTCTCTCTCTCTTTTAAATATGTTTTATTGATCAATAACAATTCATTTTATAATTCTATAGTCCATATAATAGCTTTTCTTGATTTTCTCTTCTTCCAATAATATTCTCTTTTGCCAACCTTAAATTAATACTTTTCTTATTATTTGAAAAAATGACAACTAAATATAGATATTTTTCTCATGTTTCTGCAAATAATAACCACATCAATATAAAGCTTCCTTTCTAATTGATCATCTTGGTTGCCTCATCATATTGTAAAAATTTAAATAGTTTCCTCTCTCTCAACTGGTATGGTCAAAAATGAAATTATACTCACATCACTCTGCAGATCATAAGCTTTTCTAGCATGGATGACATCATTTTGATCTGGTAGACAGGTCCACTGGTGTAAATAATTACGGTAATCAATATCGCTGACCAGTTTCTGGCAATTCCTGGCCCCCAAGATCGACAGCATATCCACAGGAGTGCTGTACTTGGTCTTCAGCTGCTCAAACACTTTCTTGTATTCCCTCTCACTCTGCATCTTGGCCACATTTATAGAATGCATAATTTTAGGATCGTCTTCTACACTACGAGCTCCAATGTGGTGGCCCAGTTGCTTGCGATAGCCTTCTTTGTATTTGTACTGAAATAAACACATATATTTAAATCACAGATTAAATAACACTTGGATTGCAACATTGTTAAGTACTTTTAAAACAGGACAACCCATCATCATTTTAAATAGCTCTGTGAATCTCTTTCATTGACTTGTAACAAAACTGCATTAGAAAATAGAATCTGTCATCCAGGTTTAGTTCATAGTTGAAGGACTAATTTAACATGGTTATTTTTTTAGTATTTGGAGGGTTTTTTAATTTCCAGTTTTGATTTTAAGAAGAATTTATTTGATCACATCTATAATCAAGATTTTATATTTGGTTCTTTTGTCAGGTTTTCCTAGGTACATTTTTGTCCCTGTTAAGGCCTTTTGTACATATTTTCTAGATTTTGAACTCTCTATTCTATATATAAAGTTCTGTTCCTTCCATAGTACACTGAATTCATAGGTTTAATACTGAACCTCAAGATTTTAGTCCTACAAATAGAATAGATAATTTTCTTTCTTCATATGCACCAGTATGAACCCACATTTCTACACTATCACAAGTATTTTATATTATGCACCTGGCAGCAATGTTCTCATGAATGAGAAATACCCAATGCCCAAGATCTGGAGAATTATTGGCATAGAATATTGGATCCTACTCTACATTAATTATTCTGAGTTTATTGTCTAACTTTACAGCTGCCCATATATTTAAACATTACATACAGTCTACATATCTCATTGTTAGGATTGTCCCTGTTCAACTATAGAAAGAACTGACCATTAAAGCAAACAAGTTATTCAGGCATTTTTATCATAAATTAATTTACTTATAAAATGTGCATATTTTGTTACAAATATCTTACGCCTTTTCTATAACTTTGACTCCAAACAGTTCAAATAGTAATTACGTCAAATCAGTGACATAATTCCTCAGTGCAGTTAAGAGAGAACCACAACACTGCATTCTATTTTTGTAATTCACAGCATAAATTCCTTCACAGAATTTTTTTCAGTGAAGTTGGAAGCACTTCCTGCAGTAATGTTAGGTTTGGTAAAATACAGTTTACAATATAATACTAATATAAATAATATAAGCATATTAAATGTATATGCCACCTGACTCCCAGCCACTCTAGATGGTTTTCAATTGTTGAAACAATTTAACGACTCGGAACAATACACAAAAAACAGAAGACGAGCACAAGACAAAGGAACAAAAATGGCAAAGAAAATAAACCCAGGGTAGAACAAAAGGAAAAGAGTATCCATCATCCTCTCCAAAAGCCTGGGTGAAGAACTAAGTCTTTAAGGTTCTCCAAAACAGGGCTTTTCAGCCAGTGGTACGGGTACCACCTGTGGTACATTGGCACCTGGCAGGTGGTACGCGACCATCCTAGAAAAGTGGTAGCGGGGGAGGGGAATGAGCTGAACCGGTGGCAGCACCGCACAAGCCTGAGCGAGAGATGGCTGGAGCTGCAGGGCTGTCAGGGCTCAGCAGAAGCGTCAGGATCAGTGCCAGGCTCCAGCTGGAGCTCGGCGCTGATCCTGGCACTTCTGCTGAGCCCAGAAGAAGCACCGATCAGCTGGAATGTTGCAGCCTCTCCAGGGTCTTGTGATTTACATTCAGATGCTTGGCAACTGATTTATATTTATGACGGTCACAGTGTCCCAGGGTCATGTGAAGTGACCAAAACCTGATGCAACCACCCAGCAGATGAGGGGAATAAAAACCAAACATCCCCCCACCCCAAACCCACTGCCAATCCTCAACAGAAATGCTCACAACAATGAAAACCTCAGACAGGAGGAAGAGCGCCGCCAGGTGGCCAGGCAGGTGTCTTGCTCAGCTGTGGCTTGGGGGGCACTTTTTTCAGTGCCATTGTAACTTCGAAGAGTCACTAAGCAAACTGTTGTAAGTTGAGGACTACCTGTACTTTATCACTTTTTTCCTTTGGGGGGGGTCATCAAGTTTTTGACACTTTGCTAGGCGACTGGTGGTACTCGGATGTTGCCATATCCTAAAAGTGGTACAATGGGTGAAAAGGTTGAAAAGCCCTGCTCCAAAATACTAGTAGGGTTGGAGCTGTTCAAATGTCGGGGGAATCATATTCCAGAGGGCCTCCAGGAACCTGATAAGTGGAATTGTTAAATCAATGTAACTTGGAGTATACCAACCCTGATTGGACAGATACTATAGGAGTTAGGTGATTCCTCAAGTAGCCAGGCCCCATGCCATGTACGGCTTTATAGAGAGCAACCAGCAGCTTAAATTGCACCAAGTGGTTTGCTAATTTTCAAAAAGTTTACTTTAAAATTCATTGATATTTATGAAGCCAAGTGGCCACTTACATCACTGGCAATAGCTCTTGAAGCCTTGGCAGCTTGAATTGGGATGGCATCAAGACGCAGATCATAACCATCTTTCTTTGCTTCCTCCATGGCCAGTCGGTACAATTTCTGTAAAAAAAAATGTTTAGTTTTAGTGCTATGCAGTGGGGGGGGGGGGCTTCTGCTACACTTGGAAATAAAGAAAACCTCCTATACCTTAACAAAAATGTTAGATGGAAGTTCTGGTGCAACTCAGGAATCCCCACACAATCCAATTAGGACCCAAGACCCTGCAGTAAATGTTGCCATTGCTTGCAAGTCCTTGAAGGAGGCCCAGTCTTCCAATGGTTCTTACTCATCCTTATACTCACCTGGCTATAGTTTAATTTGTTGAACTTTGCTAGGACAATTTCCGGCGTATCAGGCATGACATGGACTGTCCGTTTATCAGTATCCCAAGCTTCAGTATACAGACGCTGCAGAAAAGCATTAGAAAGAGCGTTAGCACAAAGTGATAACTGTTTCTTAGTCCTCTAGCTATCTATGTCTTCTGACAAAAGTTTTCCTTTGCAATTAAATTCAAAAATTTGCTAAGAATGAAACTCATTATTCTGTCACTGTACATTGTATAATTTTGTAGGACAGCACATTGTATCCAGATTGTCTTAGGAAAACCTATGTTTAATTAAGAATTAATTGTATTGTTCTTCTTTTAACCAGGCGTGGTTCAAAGACCCCAGGTTCATTGTAATCCTTGAGATTTACAAATTAATTTCATAATTAATATTCTGGCTGGAAATTCTGGAAATTATCATCCAAGCAAAATAGGGGGACATGATAGCAGTGTTCCAATATCTCAGGGGCTGCCACAAAGAAGAGGGAGTCAAGCTATTCTCCAAGGCGCCTGAAGGCAGGACGAGAAGCAACGGGTGGAAACTGATCAAGGAGAGAAGCAACTTAGAACTAAGGAGAAACTTCCTGACAGTTAGAACAATTAACCAATGGAACAACCTGCCTCCAGAAGCGNTTATTATTATTATTATTATTATTATTATTATTATTATTATTATTATTATTATTATTATTATTATTATTATTATTATTATTATTATTACACCAGGAAAGAGGGTCTAAACTTTTTTGCAGCAGAAGACTATATAAAAGTCATAATCATCATATGATTCATATGCAATATAAATTGTCTACTTTGTCCAGCAAGAATTAATGCATTTAAGGCTATATTATTTTATTTACCTAGTTACAGAATGGAAATCTGTGGTTCTGGAAAAAGACCTGAGAACAATTCTGACTTTCTGAATTGTATTTAGAATCACACCGAATACTATTTGCAATGATTATAAAAGCTCATTTGTCAGTTGTGTAACCAGAATTCACCTTGTTCATGGTTTCCGCATTATGCCTGGCCAATTCCATTTCTAGAGAATCTGTCACACTGGTGAATTTGAAACTCTCTGGAGGCTGGCGGTACGTCTTTTCACTCAGGATCTCTCCTGATTTCTTAGCATGCTCAACATCCAGTGAACCAATAGGGACCCAGCCAATGCCTTTCATCCACTCGAGGTCTGCTTTGTAGTAATTCTGTGAATTAATAGTTCATTAGAAAGGTCATCTTGCATTTTTGGAAAAACGATTGGATCTAATGACACATTGTGTTCATGCTGATGAAAGAAATGTAAAAATGTAAAAATATCCTTAAAAACCATGAAAAATGTCCAAGGTATAATTCATTGACAGGAGGTTCCTAACTTTATCGAGTAAAATAATGTTTTAGATAAAACTCAAGCATATGTCGATGAGTATGTGAAGAACATTGTCATTTGGGATAGAACAACATCAAAAGTTCAGAAGGCACTAATAACATTTGTTTGATGGTTCTATAGAGTCATGCTTAAATCTCTAATGTGCACCTTCAGAAAGAGAAAAGACCCTGGAGTAATATAGCAGATTAGGTAGTCATCTCAATTCATCCTTGCACCAATATGGGTTAAACAATTAAAAACGCCACTACTATCAGTATTTTGTACATATAGGTGACAGAAAGGTGCCAGACACAGTGCGATTGGCCCTCTTTCAACTGGTATAGTCCAAGTCAAAATTATACTCACATCACTCTGCAAATCATAAGCTTTCCTAGCGTGGATGACATCATTCTGATCTGGTAGGCAGGTCCACTGGTGCAAATAATTGCGATAATCAATATCGCTGACCAGTTTCTGGCAATTCTTGGCCCCCAAGATCGACAGCATATCCACAGGAGTGCTATATTTGGTCTTCAGTTGCTCAAAGACTTTCTTATATTCCCTCTCACTTTGCATCTTGGCCACATTTATAGAATGCAGCATTTTAGGATCGTCTTCTATGCTACGAGCTCCAATGTGGTGGCCCAGTTGCTTGCGATAGCCTTCTTTGTATTTGTACTGAAATAAATGCACGAGCATATAGTCAGATGTACCTTTATGTTTCTTTTTGGTGCCTGAACTATAATAGCCAAGTTAAAATTTGCAGAGTTAAACTATTCAACATTATTGCCAATATTAACTCCTCAAAGAACTGCAATTGACAGTTTATAATCAAATATTAAAAGTTAATTCAAATTAAAGCATATAATCCTATGCCTACTAGCAAGAAATGCTGTCTTTTTTGCCTGAAGTTAAAACCTGTTCCATTTGCCAGAGAAGCTAATTCTACAGTTCTGAAGGAGCTACAGGTGGTTTCACTAACCAAGAAAATCTGACATCTAATAGCTTCCAAAACTAGCATGAAGTGGCATAACTCCTTTGTAGAAACTTCCCACTTTTATCAATCTGTGACCAATCTATTCATAAGCTCCATTAAGACGTTTAGGTGACTGAGCTTAGCTGTTCCATGCAGCGATGCTGCTTGTTAAGAGTTCATGTCAGAGACAGGATGTTCTGTTAACTGCAATACTCTCTGATTTTTGAACTGCAGATTTATTTTAAGTCCCCTAGGGTAAGAAATTCACTTAAAAAAACAACAACAACGGAAGAATTCATTTTCATCCCACAAAAATAAAGACTTACATCACTAGCAATAATTCTGGATGCCTTGGCAGACTGAATTGGAATTGCATCAATTCGCAAATCATACCCCTTCTTCTTTGCCTCTTCCAAGGAAAGTTTATATAAACTCTTTTTAAAAAGAGAAAAAAGAAAATATTAATATTTACAGTTCTTACCTAATGGTAAACAAGGCCATTATACGGGAGCTAGGCAGACAGAATCTCGCTACTAAATAACTTCTTCAAAATTATTTTAATAAGGAAGGGAACCAGAAATGTTTAGTTCAAATATAAAACATCAAAGTATGCCCTCATGCTCCTTGCCTGTGCATTAGACATTACAACTTGACAGCTTGATTTCTGGGGCTGAGGTTCACGCCCATAGCTTTAGTAGATCATGCATTGTGCACACTCTTTTAGGCTATTAGTGAGAAAATTGCTGTGAGCTAGGACAAGGATTCCCACAGGCTTTTGTCTCTTCCCCTGCCACATCTGTCCTTTGTTACTAGCCTTTCTCCCTCTCCCTTCAGTCCCGTATTCTACTTGCAGCGGATCAACATCTCCTCATCAGGGGTTGGTTATCTTCATGTAGAGGGTTCCTATCATAATCAGAACATTTGGTAGACCTCCCATCCAGTGACCTCACCTCACTGTAGTTGATCTTGTTCTGCCTTGCTAAAGTGATTTCAGGGGTATCAGGCATTATGTGAATTTGTGTCTTGTCTTTATCCCAAGCTTCGGTATACAAACGCTGTGAAGAGAGGACAAGGAGGAAAATAAAACAGACATTAAAATGAAATCAACTCGGGTTCTTCTCTAACCCCATTGTTTCACCCTGAAAGTTCAAGTGGAAATGCCATTAATAAATATCAAAGAATGTTTACATTTTCACCAGACAGGGTTTCTCAGAGGATGTCAAGAAAAAAGTCAAGATGGCAGCCCCAATGTGGCATCAAAGTCCTGCCTTTTTTTGTGTACACTACATGAGCAATGCATACAGAAAAGACAAGTCTGCAATCACAAAATTGCGGCTGTCATCTTTCACACATCTTTCATCCTGTTCCACTGTTCTGTGTTGATAATTAGTGCAGATTGCATCAGAAAGCACTTCTTAGTTCTATCAAAGAAAAATGAGGCAGTAGATTATTGATTTTACAAAGGCATTTAGCCATTAACAGCATCAAAGTTTTGTATTTAAGAAATGCTGCACCTGTCAGATTTCACACATCTTGAAAAATGATACTTCTTTAAGATTAGTTTAATGTGTTTGCAGTGTTGCTTAAATAGAAGCTTTACAGATTTTAGTGATAAGATCTTAAATAAATCATTCTTTTCATTCTAATTGCTAGTATCAAATCAAAGAATCCTAAGATCCAAAGGATGCAGCAGTCCCTTTAGGTTTGAAAACATTATTTATAGAAAAAGAATGACAAATAATATGTACATGTGAATTATATGTATATTATTTAATTATATACAATTAAATAAAGTATTACAAATAATATTTATATTAAAGTGCCAGTACAAAGTTTTAAAATGCCACATTAATTATTACATTCAATCTCTTAAGCATCTTGCATACATTTCATTTTAATACTCAGTTACATATCTAAAACAAGCCATTAGTGCTCACCTTATTCATATTTTCTGCATTATGCTTGGCCAAAAGTATTTCTAGAGAATCTGTCACACTTGTAAACTTGAATTTGTCTGGAGGCTGACGATACAACTTTTCGCTTAGGATCTCTCCAGCTTTCTTGGCTTTTTCAGTATCCAAGGAACCAATAGGGACCCACCCAATACCTTTCAACCACTGAAGATCAGACTTGTAGTAATTCTGTGAAACAGAACATTAAAAAGGGGCATTTAGTCAGAACTGAAGGTCTAACAACCCAAAGTTTATCTTTGATCCTATGCACTGCAGCAAGTACATGTGTCCTATAGTTTTTATGGTCCTGAATTAAATGCTTTAGTAACTGAATTTTCTTTTTTCTTCTTTTAAGACAGCTTATGAATTGAAACTCACTATTGTGTATATTAACACAACAGCTGTCTTTGTACTTCCTTTAAAATATATTCCCTCACCTCCCCACATCCTTGTAATTACAAATGTCTTCAGTATGAGCATCTTTTATTCTGATAATCTCTAATTATATCAGCTAATATCACTATTTAAAATGAAATGCAAAATCATCCACTCTTGCTGTGGCAAATGCCAGAAATAATGTTCCTTATTTAGAAAATAAAAATCTTAAATTTATCGATAATTTGTGGGTTTAGTTTTTTCAGCTGAGCTAAACATTTTCCCAATTTTTTTTTACAAAACCAAGAAGAATGGCTAAATTAGATATTACAGTATTGAGTTTCTAATAATACGTCATTTATGCATTTATAAAACTAACCTTACTTAGACTTGTGATCCCCAACTGTTTTAGGCTGATGTTCAAATTTGAAATATTGAGGCAATGTTGCGATCATACATGATTAATACTGTGAATGTCTTTTGATATCAAAACAAAAGAAAAATTGCCACAAAAGAAAAGTTCCATCCCTTCAATTGTAAATTGATCAGATACTCCAAAGTATTTTTGGAAAGCATGATTTGCTCTCCATGGACTTCTCATTATTTTTAAGCTTAAATAATTCGTTTTTAGTACAAATATTAAAAGAATCAGGGAACCTTGCAGCATATGCCAGGCCCAGGTGTCATGTTGAGGACCCCTGTTAGACTCTTCCATATTTACATATGGAAGGTTTAAAAAAAAGGTAAAAGTTTCCCCTGCCAGCCATATCCAACTCTAGGGGGCAGTGCTCATTATAGCTGAAGAACCAGCATTGTCTGAAGATGCTTCCGTGATCATGTAGCTGGCATGACTATACACCGAAGGGACATGGAATGCTGTTACCTTCCCACAGAAGTGGTACCTATTTGTCTACTTGCATTTACATGCTTTCAGACTGCTAGGTTGGTAGGACTGGAGCAAGTAATGGAAGCTTATTCCTTCATGCAGTACTTGGTTTTGAACTTCCAATCTTCCGGTCAATAAGCCCAGCATCTTAACCACTTGGATATTGCGCACTCTTATTCTAATGTTAAGATTCTATTAATATTCTAACTTCAACTTAAGTACAACTATTACTGAGTGCTTCTTCAAATATTTTTAGAAATATTTTCCATGCTAACCATATTTTCATTAACCAAATCTTGCTGACTTTTCCAAAACTCAAGAAATTTGTTCTCATAGATCAGTTCCAGTGAAGTTAAAAGTCATCACTACTTACGTCACTCTGCAGATCATAGGCCTTCCTGGCATGGATGACATCATTTTGATCTGGGAGGCATGTCCACTGGTGCAAATAATTACGGTAATCGATATCGCTGACCAGCTTCTGGCAATTCTTGGCCCCCAAGACTGACAGCATATCCACAGGACTGCTGTACTTGGTCTTCAGCTGCTCAAACACTTTCTTGTATTCCCTCTCACTCTGCATCTTGCCAACATTCATGGAATGCAGCATTTTAGGATCATCTTCTATACTCCGAGCTCCAATATGATGGCCGAGTTGCTTGCGATAACCTTCTTTGTACTTATACTGTTGATAACAATAATAAGCAGTTTAAAACATAATGTTTACTTACCATGGGTTCCCTAAGATCTAGAAGAGTTTAAATCAAATATTGAACAGACCATGAAGATTGTTTGCACAAAACCACTTATATTTTAATATGTGATTTGAGTTCATATGCACTATTTCAATCTTTAGTAATTTACAAGGGGAAATTAATTTCAAAGTTTGATATCTCCATTTCATTTCCTAGGTTGCTATTACTGGTCTCTAATATAGATCCACAGAGAGAAATTAACTGCCCATCCTATCAAAACTTCCAAGGAAAATGATTTAGTCCATTTAAATATATCTTGAATACTTGTAGTAGTTGCAAAAAAATTTCCACATAATCAACCCAGCCTCAAAAGAATCCCATTCTTGCTGTAAAGGAAAAGTGTAAAAATTCTACACAACATTGCAATTAAATAAAAACTTGTGGTTTGTATCATATCGTATAAATACGTACCTCACTTGCAATGTCTCTGGATGCTTTAGCAGCCTTGATAGGAATTGCATCTATCCGAAGATCATAGCCCTTCTTCCTAGCCTCTTCCAATGACAGCTTGTACAGTTTCTAAATGGATGGCAAATATTGCTTTAGTGTTGCTGAGGGCAAATTTTCCCCCATCCCTTCTCATAGGTTTGACAAATAGAAATCCACTTACATCACTGAAGTTGATTTTGTTCTGTTGTGACAGTAGAATTTCAGGAGTATCAGGCATAATATGGATACTGGTTTTATCTTTGTTCCAAGCATCAACATACATACGCTAAAAAAAAAGCACAATAAAATAATCAAAGTAATGGTTATTAAAACTAAAATATAGAATGAGTTCTAACTATGTACTGTGGATGGAAATTATGAAACCCATTTTATATTGTTAATACCATAATTATAATTACAAAATACATAAAGCAGTCAAGTGGATAAGACTGTGCTGAATCCAAAAATAGATGAGAAAGTATTACTTAATTTTTAACTTATTCATTTTTAAAGCCAGGGTTGGAAATAAGGTGAATATAAATAGATTCAATATTTGTGACAATCTTCTTGCATAAATAAAATCCTAATCTCTTTAGTAAGGAGTTTCGTCATCAAGAATTAATCAAGGTCTGGAGGAACGTTGTCGGACACAACTTCCCAACTAACAACAACAAAGGCCATTTCTGATGAGTTCTACTAAGCTCTTATACTGTTCTAAAGAACATATTTTGACTTAAGACTAGGAATGCTTTGCTGTGTCTCCTGAACCCTAACCCTCAACTCTAAAAAGCACAATGAATGTTTTTCATGCATCCTTAAGGTGCATTATATACTGATATGCAACCTCAGTAGAGCAACTATATAATTTACTTTGAAATTTTATTACAGAAAACAATATTATTCCATCAAAGTGTATGATGTGTGTGTGTGTGTGTGTATTTAAAGAAAGGACCACAGACAAAACTTACCTGATTCATAATTTCAGAGTTATGTTTTGCCAAAGCCATAGGTAAGGAATCGATAGGACTGGTAAAATGGAAAGTGTCAGGGTGTTGCCTATATCCATGGTCACTCAAGATTTCAGAAGCTCTCTTATTCTTCTCTGCTTCTATTGAACCACTAGGAGACCAGCCAATACCCCTGAGCCACTCAAGGTCTGATTTATAGTTAATCTGAAGAAAGGAGAAGTTATTAGTTTTTCTGTTTTATTATTCAACATTTTATTAGTGTCACTGCTTCTTAAAACATTAAAACATCCCTAAATCTTAAGAAGCGATGTGGCAGTGAAATTCATTCAAACAAATAGAGTGATCCATAATGGTTGTACTTAGAGCACAGCTAACACTGAGTAGAAGAAGGTGGTTTTATTAAGCGTGGCTTTACATTTACAAAGTTGCTAAAATGACACTTACATCACTTTGAAGATCATATGTTTTCTTGGCATGGATGACATCATTTTGATCCGGGAGGCATGTCCACTGGTGCAAATAGTTACGGTAATCGATATCGCTGACCAGTTTCTGGCAATTCTTTGCACCTAAGATGGACAGCATATCCACAGGAGTGCTGTACTTGGTCTTCAGCTGCTCAAACACTTTCTTGTATTCCCTCTCACTCTGCATCTTGGCAACGTTCATGGAATGCAGCATTTTAGGATCATCTTCTATGCTGCGGGCTCCCACATGGTGACCAAGCTGCTTACGGTATGCCTCTTTGTATTTGTACTGTACAGAGAGAGAAAGAGAAAATAAAAACTTTGATCTAGTTCCCCATATAACTAAATGTACTAAACCAAAATATTTTTTCAGGCAATCTGATCACTATATCTCAAGTACTGAGTTCCAACCTGACTGGGTAACATCTAGAGATGTTTCTCAGCTGATAGATCTATATTTACCAGTGTAATAATTTTTTCTTTCCCATTAATTCTCTATTACTTCCCATCCTTCTTGGTGTAAATGAAGGGAGCATGCTAGAGAGAAGCCTAAGACATCAGTAGTAGTAAAGACTTTTTCACTTGATTGCAATGACAATAAAGGATACGGTATTCAGTTTTTAAAGAAGGATTTATTAAAGATATTATTATCTCTATTAAGTAATATTATTAAGCTTATTAGTAATTATCTATTTAAGTCTATATTAATTCAAAAGGAAAACAAGTTATTCCTCCCACCCCACTGAGGATCTATTAATTGGATTGTTCATTATCTGGTAAATGAGCAATTCTCATTCTTTGAGAGCAGAAAATCTGGCCGAAAATAAGGGAATGACATATGGTTATATACAACATGGCTGAAGGGTCTCTAGGATTGATTTCATCTGTGATTAATGACTTTAAGTTGACATGATGGGAAAGATGGGCAACACACAAGTATTTGGTTTGTTGAGAGAAAGGTGGAGGTAGAGATAGATATTATCAGCCTGAATAAATCCACTGCAGGATGCAGGTTATTTCAGTGAAGGTTATGTATGATAATCCACCATGTTAACCCAATGCAGGTTAATAAGTAGATGTTTTTGAACTCTGCAGTCTAAGGATGAAAGAGAGGAAATGGCCCAAAATCACCCAGATGGTGATTTTGTAAGGAGGATGTGTATGGAGTGTGTTTAATCATCCTTGAGGGGAGAACATCTCAGATTTATGACATTATTTTAACTCCAGTAACATTGGCCACATATTAAAGAGTTATAGAGGAAATTTTGGTTTGTTTATATTGATCAAAATAGGATTTACTTTTAGTCCGCAGTACATTTTTATATTATTTATTTATATTTCATATTTCTTAACTGCCCATCTCCCTCAGTTTATTCAGTTTATATAGTTGCTTATCTCAAATATATGCCTTTTAAGTGAAGAATGGTTTGAGGGTTAAGTATTAAGTTATAAGAGAGGGATTTAGAATTTCCTGCTTATGATTTTTCAAAATAGGTTAAAAATCACCTTTCTATTTTCATTGACATTAATCAGAATTGAGAATGGTTAGTCCAGAAGGAAATGTAATACCTTTAATTAGAAATGTATCTTAAATTATTTTATGTAAATGTAAGGCAATGATAATAGCATATAGCACTCTCTATTGAAAAATCTCACAAGTGCTAATTAGCAATCTAATTGGTAAATGAGATTATATTAAAAAGCGAGGGGGACTGTATGTGGTGGTGGGACATATAAATCAAGGATTGGGGCCTTCATGCCATTGTAGATAAAACTGAAACAAAGCCCCTGTGGAAATCAAAGACCAGTTATGATACCTCTCCATCAAGGAGCAGACTTTTAGCCCTTATCAGTGAATGGATTGCTTTCAGAGGCCTTTGGAAAATATGCTAGAGCCTCAGTTTGCCCTCCCTCGGGATACCAAATAAGAGGAAGATTTAACAAATCACTGCATGCCATCTTTCCTTAAAATACATAAACAGAGTTGCTTACTTCACTGGCAATTTCTCTAGAAGCTTTGGCTGCCTTGATCGGTATGGCATCAGGTGGAAGATCATAGCCTTTCCTTCTCAGTTCTTCCAATCCTAATTTGTAGAGTTTCTAAGAAGAGAGCCAATGAAAGTTAGAAGTGCAACACTCTAGTGCAACATTAAATGGTTGATTCTGTAATCAAACCAGTATCAAACTTACATCACTCAAGTTAACTAAGTTGATTCTGGACAACACAATTTCAGGAGTGTCAGGCATGATATGAATCTGAGTCTTATCTTTGTCCCAGGCTTCTCGATAAAGTCTCTAGAAAAATAAAAACAAAGAGTGAATCAATATCTTTCAGTGACAAAAAATAATATGACCTTTCACAACACAGTAAAAAAATCTATTCAGATAAAGCAAAATATTTTGAGTTGTTATCAACTCGGGCAGAGTTGCATGCAGAAGAAATAGTTACGAAAGTGGAATAGTTATGCAGAAGAGATTCTTTTGTTTCATCCCTAAATTAAACAAAGGTCATTATATCCTCAAGGATGCTTGTTTATGTTAATTTTTAGAAAAAAAATAAAAGGAAACTTACAAAAAAATACCATTTTGCTAAATACATCCAATGAGAAACTTCATTTTTCCTACACTGAATTTTATTTTTTAAACATATTTACCATCATAAAATTTTATTCTTATTTACTTGGAAGCAAGTTCTCTTGATCAGGGGATCTTAAATGCAATTTATTAAAGAGAGCTACCGTCCTAAAAACAAATTTCTAAACTATCTTGAGTTTCTTTCAATGTAACTTACTTTTGAAGAAATATAGATTCAGGGATGGAATCAAACCACTACATTACACTGCAGAATCTATTGCTTTCCTCCCCCCTCCCTCTTTCAAGCTGTTGATTGTCTCCCCAAGTCCCCTCAAGCAGCAGAAACCCTCAGCTTGAGAAACACTCACATCACTTCTATGCTTTGAGTTTTCTTTTGCCAAAACAACTTCCATCGAATCAGGAATGCTTGTGAATTTAATTGTGTCTGGATGCTGACGATAAGTTCTTTCACTCAGAATCTCGGAAGCTTTCTTGTTCTTTTCCGACTCTAGAGAGCCAAGGGCGTTCCATCCAATACCCTTAATCCATTCGAGATCAGATTTATATGCAATCTAGCAGGGGGGAAAAAAAACAGAAGCCACCATTCTATATTATAGAATTTCTGAAGGTGTTTTGTTCCTGACTTACTGCCCTTGAATTTTGTACGTATGTCTTTTTCATCCAGTGATGCCTCTTTGATTTAGGACTCTGTAATATCTTGTTGGTTATGAATAAAAGCACAAAGTAAGGTGTAAGGTTAGAAGAACATTTTCCTGTCAGGCCAGATCTCAGAAGAAATAAAAGAACTCTCCTTTATAATATAGAGTACAATAACAGAATATTGAAAACCAGACAACTGTTTCCTCTTCCCTCCCTCTTAGCCCAACTTTGATTCTCTTTAGTATATTCTGGGGTTGTGGGGTTTTTTTCCCCACTTTTTTGCTTTCCTGTATTAGGCTCATATTTTACTAAGAGTTGCCACATATCCTCTTCAAGATGCCATCTCTGTATAGTTTTCTTTCATATTTTCCCAAATTTTAGACACTGAGAGCAATGAGTCAGAGGAGAAAGACACAACAAACTTTGCAAGTTTTAATTTAATCAAGGAAAGAAGAAGTTAAGGATTTTTTCTTTAAAAACCCCCACAATCTTACCAAGTTAGTAAAGGAAGAGGGAAATGTAAGTTGGATATCAGTGTCTAGAGTTACTATAAGTTATAGAAAGAGAGTGTAGAAGAGTAATAAGAAAATAAAACATGCATTTTCAGATGTCAGTAAGGAAGGCAAATACCCGAGCAGGATCATTAATTGGTAGCTGGATAAATAGTAAACAGGGAAAGACGTCCAGTCTACATAGTCAATGCAGTTTTATCAAACAAAATGGTTGAACTATATGACTTACATCACTCTGTAGTTCATAGGTCTTCTTGGCATGGATGATATCATTTTGATCTGGGAGGCATGTCCACTGGTGTAAATAATTACGGTAATCGATATCGCTGACCAGCTTCTGGCAATTCTTTGCCCCCAAGACTGACAGCATATCCACAGGAGTGCTGTACTTGGTCTTCAGCTGCTCAAACACTTTCTTGTATTCCCTCTCACTCTGCATCTTGGCAACGTTCATGGAATGCAGCATTTTAGGATCATCTTCTATACTACGGGCTCCAATATGATGGCCAAGTTGCTTGCGATAGCCATCTTTGTACTTGTACTAAAAAAAAAAGTTGAGAAAAAGTCAAAATCAGGAATAATTTGCAGACCCAGGTATGTCAGATTTAGCAGTATATCTAACATTTGCACAATGGACACAGTTTTATGTACACAAATCTAGTAAATCTCTATAGATTTGTATATGATTTACTCATGAAGAAATGATCTGGACATAGCTCAAAAAATCCTTAGTGCAAAGCTTTATCAAAGGTATTGAATCTTATAGGAAGGATAATGTATATACTGTATATCAATGCATAACAATATATTATAACTATAAGCAACTACGTTGTCAGTTCTCCAGCAAAAAACTAAGCTCCTCTACCTCTGCCTTGAAATTAACTATAAAGATGCTTGTTTAAGATCGCAGGGCACATTAATAAAGTCTGTGTTTCTGTGACATAATGGAAAATCCCGCTCAAGGTCCCACATGAGTGAAATACAGGTTTCTTCCTTAGTGGGCAGGACTAATATGCCTGATTTAATTTTTATCCAGCTTGTGGGTGTCTGTATATGATTTTGGAAGTTTGAGCTTACATATATATCATGCGGAAATTAACAAACCCTGACATTAAAATGAGTCATAGCTTAAGCTATAATATCAGAGAGAATTTATAACATAACTTACGTCACTAGCAATGTCTCTGGATGCTTTAGCTGCTTTCACTGATATGGCTTCAGTAGTGAGATCATAACCCTTCTTCAACATTTCTTCCCATCCAAGTTTGTACAATTTCTAGCATGAAAAAGTAGCATAGATTAAAAAAAATCAAAACAATTTGAATAAAGTAAATATTTACAATCCACTCCTACAACTGAAACACACCCCATTTTTTGCTTCAGGTTTCCTCGTGGAGAAATCTAATCTTGTTATAGGAATGTGCAAATCCATAAGAAACCTATTTAGTAATATCTTAGGTTTCCTCAAATATTGTCTGTTATTTGAGGAAGATATTAGCTTCAGACGTGATTTAAATAAAATTTGAACAAAGTAATGACTTTTTTTAGATTATACAAAAGTCTGTTCTAGTCCAGCATTCTGTTCTCACAGTAGTTCCGAAAACCCTGCTAATGTTTAATAATATTAGAATAGTTCTTAGCTTTTTTTCTCTTTCGTGTATGTGACTCACAAGAAATCATTTGTTTTGCTTCAAATTTCATTTCAAACAAAAGCCACAAATTGAAATCAACTTCCTAGTAATTAAAAGGGAGAACGATTACTGAAGAGATTTCTGAGGAATAAGAGCAGTTTATGACAAAGTCATGAAGGAGTCAATGCCTAACCCAGGGGTCCCCAATCCCCAACCCCCAGTCCGGGAACCAGTACCAGGCCACGGCATGCCAGCAACCGGGCCGCACAAACAAGCAAAGCCCCATCCACAGGATGCAGGCAGTACATGAAACCACACCCCCTCCAGTCTGTGAAAAAAACTTTCTCCACGGAAACTGGTCCTTGGTGCCCAAAAGGTTGGGGACCTCTGGCCTAACCAATGGCAAATGAGTTTAATATTCAGAAATGTTAAAATCAGCTAGCAATTTGGCTGTAGAAAATTTCAGAATCATCTAGTTCTAGAATGATCAGTTTAAATCTATAATAGTGAGATTATACATTCAGTATTGTTATTTGTTCTGCATACTCCCTATTGGACTAGTCCCAGCTGATACACAACCAGAGGACTTTACAGACAATGGTGTTCTTGCTCTTTCTTGGAAGAAAACTGAATGAAATGAAAGTTGAATTCCCATGAATAGCCTCAGATCTTCAAGAAAACGTTAACTTCAAAAATTAAGGAATCATTTCATTCAGGAGAATATAATCAACATGTTGAAGACTAGTTACTAAAACACATGCTTGAATAGTTTCTTACCTGGCTGTAATTGAACTTATTTGCTTTAGCCAGCATAATATCTGGTGTATCTGGCATGACATGAATCGTTGTCTTGTCTTTCTCCCATGCATTTATGTATGCACGCTGTTAGAGAAGAAAACGGTAACGATCAATAAATGCATTCATATGCAATAAAGTTGGTATGCGGATAGCTGTTTGATTTTAATATAAAATTGAAAGTCTGTGCAGATTCTCTGCAGAGGAAATGCATTGATATGTCCTAGAAGTCATATATTTAGCGATGTGCTTGGGATGACCTTCTGCCCATAAATTAGCCTTTTCCTCTATACAACACCTCATGACTGTCATCTGCACAAATCCTTAGGGAACAGAGAGCCTCTTTAAGGAACAAATGACTATGGTAACATTAATTAAAGAATATTGTCTATAGCTAACAGTAGCACTCAAGATGTCAGTTTGCGGAGAAATCTGCTAACAAATAATTATGTTCTATAAAATAAAAATCTGCTAGGAATTGTTCAGTGGTTTTTACAAAATCTATACCACTCATAACATATATCTGCAATCTGCTGAAACTCTTTTGCTTAAGTAATGCAAGCCAGAGGGTTAAAGTGGGGTGCAGCATATGTCATTATTTGCACGCAGAATGGCAATGGTTACCTTATTCATAACATCAGCATTGTGCTTTGCAAGTTCCATATCCATTGAATCAGTCAGCTTCTTAAATGGGAAAGCACTTGGATGCTGGCGATACTTGGTGTCACTTGCGATTTCAGTGGCTTTCTTGGACTTCTCAATATCCAATGACCCAGCAGGGCTCCAACCAAGACCTTTATACCATTCATTATAATCTTGCTTATATTCATGCTGTAGACAGAGAATGAAACAAATCTATAGTTCAACAGCTCTTAACTATAATAATACAACACACACACACACCCATGGACATATCAAAAAGAGGCATCCTATGAGTAAATGATGACATGATGAATTACAGCTTCAGGTCACTTTGAGTAAGAGATAATCCTTTTGTCTTTTTGTTTGCTTTATTATTTAATTAGTAAGCACTGCAAAATTGTAAAAATTGCTTGATTTATTATTTAATTAAAAAATAAGTTATTTCTCTTCTAAAGTATTGAACAGCAGTTTGTCTCACATGATTTCTTAAGAATACTCAAGTAATAATTCTGACACTACAAATTAGCAGATTTTATTTTTTATTCTCAATTGTATAATGCAATTTAGAAAGAATTTAATCTATTTGTACCTAGTATAGATCTTCATAAAAGTACATCTAATTAAACTGCAACTTCATCTTTCTAAGAAATTATAGTTATTATATCTATGAAACCAAGAAACACATTTAATCCAGATAATTATTCCACTGAGTGGCATAAAATATGTATTGAATTCTTTGTCCCAATATCATTCCAGATTATCCTGATCAGTGCACACTTGATGACCTCATGGCAGTGCAACAGAAACACAATTAATGTTGCTAGTTTCTGGGCAAGATCTGTTTAACTTGTGCAAATTTTAATCTTGCATTTTATATTTTAAATGTTATGCCATATACAGTAATATGCCTTATTTTAATTGTGATGCTTCTGACACAGATAAACATTGCAGATCTATACAATAATGCTTTTTAAAATACTTTTTTCCCTTCTCTGTGATTTATATAACTATGATTTTGAAGGCTGGTGACTATCCTGCTGACTTTGCAATTCTGCTGACTAATTTACTTGTTCTATTTTAATGCAAAACTACTGCCATGGACCCTGGCACGTAGAATACAGATGGAATTCAAATAATCCATTTTGCACAATATCATTTTATACACAGTTGACAAAGTCTGTTATTAGATTACTAACTGATTTTCAAAAACAAAACAAAACACCAAAACCCTAAAATCTGCAGCAGTAGTCTCACTGGATTGTTTTGAGATGGTGCAATGGGAATGACTAAAAAATGGTTTTGGCTAACTATCAATTATTAATTATCAACTAATTTGGACACATTATTCAAAGACTGACTGGAGAAAGCTGTAATGCTGGAAAAGGTGAAAGGAAAGGAAGGAAGAGGATGACCAGCAATGAGATAGATGGGCTTAGTGGCAATGACTGCAACATTGGAAAATCTGAAAGAACCAGTTAGGAGTAGATAGTCGTGGAGAAAATCTATGTAGTTGCTAGGGGTCAAAAAATGACTTGATGGCACATAATCACTCAATCAAATGGGAAAGTTTGGAAAAAGTTTTTCCTCCTTTTTTATGTGGTCACATAATGTGGATTATGTGGTCACAAACTGTGGATCAATGTGTGGTAGACTGTTCTAGTTTGCTAAGGATATTTCAAATGGAAATCTTCATTTAGCAAAATGTCTTGCAGAACTTAACAAGAATGTCCTTTATCTCCTCTTGTTTTTCATTTGATATTGGAACAGTATTCTACAAATGAAACACGTTGTAAAGAGGGTGGAGTTGAAACCAAACTGCTATAATGTGTTGATAATAACCTTCTCTATAATTACACATTTTTATACTAAAATATATTGATAGTGTATTTGGTAATTTATCAAGTTATTCATTTAGTCGAAATGTTTTTACTGACATCTGTAAAAATTGGGATTTCCCTTTTAACTATGTGGCAATAATTCTTACAAGGGATTTTTTTTTCTCAGTTAAAAAATCAACATAAATTGTTAAAAATCCTGTTGAGTTTATGGATGTGGGGAAGAATTATAATTCTGATCTTTAACCACCCAACTAATTTATATTTAAGGACAATTTCAGCTGAACATTGCAAATATTCTTCACTATGGCAAACATTGCAAATAATCTATTTATATATATATTAAATCCATTTATTATAAAATAGTTTATTAAAGCATTACATTTTTATTAATTTTTCATGTTTTTGAACTGCCCATCCCCCTCAAAGATAAATAAATGTATAAAAAGCATCTTGCAACTAAATAGTAAAAAAAAGAGATTCCAAGATCTTACATCACTTTGAACCCGATTCATATTTCTGGCCAGTTCTACATTCAGGGCATCCGGCAGAAGGATATAATTATGGATGAGCCTTTTGTAATTGGTGTTGGTGATATTGGCTTGTGCTTCTTTGGCAGCCACAATGCTGACAGTATCGGCAGGCGTGTTGTATCTCGTTTTGCTGCCTTCATAGGCTTTCTTGTACTCGCGATCTGACTGCATCTTGGCCACTTGCATGAAATGGACAAGCTTGGGGTCATCTTGGAGGCTGCGGAAGCCAACGAGCTTACCCTTGTCCTGTTCATAACCTAACTTATATTTGTACTGCAGAGAAAACAGAAAGTGAAATGTAAGCTCAGGAGGGTCAATACTGAATTGTAACTTTATCATACGGTAATACAATGAAAATAGATATAGGTACAGATTGAACAGATTGTTAGACATGGTAAAATTGGTTCCAAAGGTGCCTTTTTGTCCACAGGGGCCTTCTGTAATTTTTCTTCAGCAGGAAAAAACAACAACAACATCAACTGTAAACTTACATCACTGGCGATTTCCCGAGAAGCTTTAGCAGCTTTAATAGAGATTGCATCACTTCTGAGATCATAGCCTTTCTTTTTAGCTTCTTCCAGAGAATGTTTGTATATTTTCTATGTGGGAAAAGAAAGGAAAGAATTTAAAGAATACAGTACAGTACAGAGACAGAAAATTAATGCTTGATAAGGTATGATTACAAGTGTAATTATTTCTTAGCATTCTGGAAAAATTAGCCAAATCCAGAAGAAAAGGTAAATTTGATTGAATAGAATTAATGTAATGCAATGATTCTGCAGGTTAAAAGTTATTTATTCTTTGTTCTGAAAACCATCCTGAATCTTTAAAAAAAAAAAAACATAAGTGGTCTTAAAATCTAAACTGCTAATTTATATGTTGGTCAATGCCAGATTACAAACCTACACCAGGACTCTTTTCACAAACAAGCCACACAATCTGTACTTGGTGCCATGTCCCTCATCCCGTATGATGCTGTGGACTTGGTTAATTAATATATGTAACTATTCTTAGCATCCAAAAGAGCAACGACAGCTTTACAGCAATTCTACTGGAGCTCTAGAGAGGCGCTTTTACATTTTGTCAGAGCCTGAAAATTAATCTGCCAAAGGGATCCTGAAATTTTCTCTTCCTGTAGCTGAGATGCTAAGGTATCTGACCACAATTCCCTCTCCACTTCCCAGGCATTCCAGTAGGACAGATTTGCCATTTGCTTTAACAATCACATCACCAATAGCTTGTCTAGAAGGTCTTTTTTTTTCTCCCTTTTTGCAAAAAGTAAAAACAGCAAAGGAAGAGTCTGAGTGAATCAGAGTAGGATGCCAAATTATTGCCAAAGATCTGCAGGGCACTATGGTGTCTGGGTAGGAAAAAAAAGGCCTATTTAATTATGCATATCTAGCAATGGAACATTTCAGTAAATGAACACTGGCTTTGGAAAGCTTTCATAAGCATTTTTAATACCATGCCAGGATAATTCTCGACTTTCTATTCAAGTTCTAGTGAACAGTGGTTTCGATTTTTTTTCTTCTTTAAGTTGTATTTTTTTCCTGTTTCTTCGTTGTTAACTTGGTATAATGGTTTTCTTAATTTAGTGCTGCTAATTTGAGAATAATTACTTGGAAAGGCTGTGTATGAAATAATTACATGAACAAAGACTTCTGCTAATGAGAGTTTTCAATGAATAATACTACAGGATTTGACTCAAAGGCTAGCTTTTTCTGCTAGGCAATGTGTCTACTTTATCTTGTTTGACAAATAATGTAACCTGTAGTTTTGCTGATTCACTAGTACTAGCACTAAGCAAACTATAGCTCTTAATCAACCTTCATACTTACATCACTGATGTTATAAGCATTGACTTTTGCCAAAAGAATCTCAGGAATATCTGGCGTAATATGAATCTGTGTCTTTTCTGCTTCCCAGTCCTTTTTGTAAAGGTGCTAAAATAGAATGAAGGGAACATGTATCATTGAAAAATAACTTTGAAATAAACCTCAAAAAAACAACAACCCCACAGTTAAAAAAAATACACACCATAATTAAACCAGTATGATAATTAAATTTAATTTTATATCAATCCTTTGATGATTGGAAAATATCTCATCAGTCCAGTTTACCTAGATAATTGAATTATTTGGTTAAGTTGACTGAACCATTCTTAATCAGTCCAATACAGTATGAACCAAGTGTGAATTTTACCTCATGTAGAATTATTCAAACAAGAAATATTCACGTGCTGATGACACTTTGCTAGTACAGATAGTCCTCAACTTACGAACACAATTGAATCCAACATTTCTGTTGCTAAGTGAAACATTTGTTAAGTGAATTTTGCCCCATTTTATGACTTTTCTTGCCACAGTTGTTAAGTGAATCACTGTAGATGGTAAATTAGCAACATGATTGTTAAGTGAAATTGGTTTCCCCATTGACTTTGCTTGTTAGAAGGTTGCAAAAGTTGATCACATGACCCTTGGACACTGCAACCGTCATAAATATGAGTCAGTTGCCAAGTGTCTGCCAAGTTGATCACATGACCATGGGGACACTGCAATGGTTGTTAGTGTGAAAAATGGTCCTTTTCAGTGACATTGTGAGTTTCAATGATCACTAAAGGAACTGTACTAGCTGTACTAGCAAAATAGTATAGTTAAATTTGTTTTGCTATACTAATTTTTAAGAAATAAAATCAAGCAGAAAGCTCCTCCAGTTCCTCTTGTAATTAATATTTGTTTCTTTCATTCTGTGAAATCTTGGAATAATTAGTCCAAATAATAAAGAACTCTTAGTCCCCAAAGTAAATCTCTTTTGAAAATAGTTATTTTGAAAAGAGAGTTGTGTCAGGGGATCGTAAAAGACCTCATGTGCATTTGCATGTTGATTATACAATAATATAAAAGAAAATTTACCCCTTTCGTTGGGAGAAAAACAAACATGTAACTATCACCCTAAATTGCACGACCAAGAGCAGCATTTGCATCTTTTAAAAGCCAGTCACCTCATAGCAGTTAGAAATTATTAGCAAACAGAAATCTATTCACCACTTCATATTTAAGTATACTAGTAAATAATACCGATTACATCTCAAAGAGATGAAACTGATGACACTTGTTAACCTAGAAATATCATAGAATCTATAATCAAACCTATGAACTAGAAATATACCGGTATAAATCACCAATGTATATAACTATTGGAAAGTTGCCTCCTGAATTAATTGTCTTCACTTACGGTAACTTTCTTAATACTGTAGAAGAAATAATATACATTTCTTAAGAGCTAGAGTCTGTCTTGCACATGAATATCCACTGAATCAACAAACAAGTTAATGTCTGCCTAATCTTCTTTACTATATTCTCACAGACTTGTTCAATGACTTTGGGCATACACATCCCATTTTAGTTATTTGATTTTGTTTTTGTAAACCACCCAAATCCTAGTAAGTAGATAAATAAATAATCCTTGGCTTACATCATCCATAATTTTTGCATTACTTGTTGCTAGGACCATTGGCATAGAATCCATTAGAATAGAATATTTCAATTTGTCTGGATGTTGTCTGTACTTCTTCTCACTGACAATGTCCATGGCTTTCCTATTCTTTTCAGCTTCTAGAGATCCTAGTGGTATCCATCCAATCCCTTTCATGAATTCATCATAGTCTGCTTTGTATTGATTCTGAAAAACAAAATGAAAGGAAAGTTTATACCAAATGTTTGGAAAAACAACTTTTTATATTTTTAAAAAAGATTAATCTTTTAAACATTGTTTGATCTGCAGCCTGGATTACAAATAACATTAGAAAAGATCAAACACACAAATGAAAAATATACATATCATAGTTGTGATAATGTATTGTTTTATCATTGTGAAACTGAGCACAAGGCACATTAATTTGAATGTGTCTGTATATTAATTTATCCTGTGATTTTGCATGCTATGTACATTACAGTTTTATTATTAGTTTGATACACCAAATTTGTTGTAAGAATTCAAAGTAGCATATGCAGGACTCCCTCTTCAAATTTTTCTCCATAGCAATGCTGTGAGAGAAAACTGGCATTTACCGTCAACTCAACAGCTGAATTTGGGACAGTCCCATAAATTTGCCCAATGAGCTAGAGATAGATCATGGCTTAGACTGTGCTGTTAACTATGACTACCACTCTGTATCCTAACATTTAATATAAAGAGCTGCTCCATAAGATGGCCCATAGGTTAAATTAATAATGTTTTTTATAGTGCCAATCTACTTCCCAATAAACCCTCTTCAAATCTACTCTAAATTTGCAGAGGGAAGAAGAGCTTTGGGTCTTTCCATCATGTAAATGGAAATTGATAGCAGCATACTGTACATTTCTATGCCCTGCTTCTTCAGGGGAAAAACTGAGTTCCATTTGCAGTGAAAAACCATTCTGGTATATAGTGTTCTCTCCCAATTGCAAAGTAACAAATACATACACCAGAGTTTAAAGACTTCAGTTATCTAACTTTGTCATTCGAGAAGTTATCAAAAAAAAATTTCCTTACATCACTCTGGATCTGCATCATATTTTTGGCCAATGCAAGGTTCATAGAATCGGGCAAAGCACTGTAAGAGTGGATAATATTCCGGTAATTGGTATCAGTTGCCACTTCCTGTGCCTTCTTGGCTGCCACAAAACTGAACATGTCAACAGGAATGTGGAACCGGGTCTTTGATTTCTCGTAATCCTTTTTATATTCACGCTCTGACTGCATCTTTGCAACTTCCATATAGTGCACAAGCTTAGGGTCATCTTTTAAGTTACGGAAGCCGATCTGCTTTCCTTTTGATTGCTCGAAGGCCAGTTTGTATTTGTACTATAAGTCAGATAGAATAACAAAACAACACACATACAAACACATATACATATTTGAGAGGATATTTAGTTAAGTTACTCATTGACAGTGATACGTGTTACTATATGGAATATATAAAATATTAATATATGTAACATTTCCTATCACCCAAACCTTCTGATTTTACAATTACAATTCAGCAGGAATTGCTTGGGCTTTTCTAAATATTTCTGGATCTGTAAAAATACCAGAATGTTACAGGCACAGAAATATTTGCTTTTTTTCCAACTTGTTTTCAAATGAAAAATCAACACCCAATCAGAATTTGCTCTTCCTGGTAATAAATGAGCACAGATAGCCAAACAGTGCTTGCCTCCATCCCACCCACCCCAGTTTTGCACAACGAACAATTGCCCTGTGTAAATAGAGTAAAAGATGAGAGTTTTATAAGCTTGTGACGGTGATTAATCATCACACAACTTATACAGCAACTCTCAACATCCAGCCCCCATGCCCGGATAACTGCACATCCGGTGGACACCCAAATTAAATATAAGCAGATCTGCATCTCTGTCTGGAAATCACCTAGGTCACCATGTGTTTGGTGTAATATAGCATTAATTAATCTTTTAATAGAATTATATGACATTAAGCCCTTTCAAATCAGTAATATTGATTAGGCTAAATCTAACTCATGGGTTAGATTGTAGCCTAGCATTTGTGGGGAATGGAGTAGTAAATGCTATCTTTATCCACTGACTAGTAAGACAGAAGTTTGTACCAGTTATCTTTCAATGTTTCCCTCTGGTAAATTCCCTGAAGATCATAAAAGGTTTGTTGACAAGGACAGAGTTAATGAAGCAATCAACAAAGAATTGTACTGGGATATAATTGTTTACTGGCAAGTATAGAAAGACACTTCCCTGATCGAGAGAGAGAGTGATAGATAATAGATAATAGATGATAGACAGATAAAACATACTAAATATATTCCTGCAGGATCATGTTTGAGCAGGTAACAAGATATCCACAAAATCTATGAAGCCCTTAAAGATTTTAGGAAATAAATTCCATAGATTTGCCTGAGCAAATTCATGCTTCAAGTATCACAGATCATTCAGACTAATATGGTTGTAGATATCAGGGAGCGAATGAAATGGTCAAACTAAGAATAAAAACAAGTTTTCCCATAATAAGGACATATAAAAATTAAACATACATCACTTGCAATATCCCTGGAAGCTTTAGCTGCTTTTATGGACAGAGCATCTGGTCGTAGATCATAGCCTTTTTTCTTCTCCTCCTCCCAGCCAGACCTATATATTTTCTGTTCCACAACAGGAGGAAATACAGGCAGATGTTTAGAACATTTTTAAAGGAAAAAATAGAATGATGGATATGTGCTCTCAAAATTAAGCCAAAAATATGACCCATGTTAATACACTGATATATACGTCCAGTCCTCTACTTAACTTACATCACTCATGGTGATTTGGTTGGCTTTGGACAGGAGTATTTCTGGTGTATCAGGCATTACGTGAATGTCAGTCTTATCTTTGTTCCATTTTTCTATATACAGCCTCTGCAGTTAAAACAAAAAGTTTAAACAAATCACATTGTTGCATGTAGCCAAGTTATTTGCTTGCACATTTTGTGCCACTAAGATACCCCCTCTCACTATGCAAAACAAAACTGAATTTCTAATGATAAACCTACTATCATGGCTTTTGCTTCCTAAACTAGAAATATGCAATATTTTCTTTTTTAAAAAAAACCTAAATATTAATTAAATGCTTAATTTCTTGATTTCACAAAGGGGCTATACAAACCCAAAATAACAGAATATAAATATTAGATTTTTATATATATAACTCAACCCTAATCCTAACCCTCTGCTGAATTTGTAAATAAATGTAATATGGACACTATTGCTATAACAGATTGTATCCCTGTAACATTACCACTTACTACAACAAATAGTCATGCAATTTTCTCCTATATGGTTATATTAATATATATTTATTTTAGTAATTTACCTACTGTATCTTAGAGCAGAGGTCCCCAACCTTTTGGGCACCAGTTCCGTGGAGAAAGATTTTTCCACGGACCAGAAAGTGTGTGGTTTTGTGTGCTGCCTGCATCCCACAGATGGGGCTTTGCTTGTCTGTGCGGATCGGTTGCTGGCATGCCACGGACCGGTACTGGTCCACGGACCGGGGGTTGGGGACCCCTGTCTTAGAGGATCCAGTTTTTGTACAATTAATATGACAAGAGGTAAGAAGACTTTTTTTTCTTTCAATTGACTTTTTATTCTATTTATTCATTGCCAAGCTGCTAGAGGCAGGTCTGAGCTCAAAAGAAAACCCAGGACATAAGAATACATAATATTAGAAAGAAGCCATATCCAAAACAAGTTTGGCCACTACAGTAAATCAAGATATAGCCATATTTATAGAGAAATTTCTCAGTGTAATTAATGGATTACGCGGACTCTTCTTTCAAGCCGGTTGGTTCTTAAAAAGCCACATTGATTCTTGTTTTGTGCACATTGCCCATTGACCCCTGGTTTGGATCAACGCTCCTTTTATCCAGTTTATGATCATCCAGAAACCTCAAGAAAATTAAAACGCAAACCGCACAAGCCATAATCATTCCCCATACAGGTTAAAATCTGATTTAATTTGATATTTAGTCATCCTGGACAATAACCAGGGAAAGATCTCATTACCACACCTTGTGATAGCAAATTTATGAATAGGCACTGTGTGAAGAACTACTTTCTTTTATTATTGGCTAATTATTCATTCAATAAGCCATGACAAACCTAATGAGCCATTGAGGCAGTAGAATTTCCAATAAATGCTTTTTACTAAGAATGAAGCATATCTTTACTGGATCATTTGATTATAGCCTATGAAGCCTAAATCTGTCCCTGAAAAAAATGATGTTCCTAGGAGATTTTGTTTTTCTTTACCTTATTCATGGTGTGGGCATTTTGTTTAGCCAACACCTGTTCCATGGCATCCATGTCGAAGGTATACTTCAGTTTGTCTGGGTGCTGACGATATTTCTGTTCGTTGAGAATATGACTGGCTTTCTTTGCAGTTTCCACCTCCAGAGATTGAATTGGCACCCAGCCTAGTCCCTTCAGCCAACTATTAAAGTCAGTTTTGTAAAGATTCTGGAGGGGAAAAAAGCAGGGAGAAGAAATAACTTGGTATGAATCAAATTATCTTATTTTAGTGTAACATAACATCCCCAAATAATTGTAGTTGTAGCATGGCCTAAAGTGCAAGCTTCATGCTTCATGCTTCATTCCATCAAAATGGGCACTGAAATTGTATCTTTCAGAGAAAATCTTCTCTCCAGTTAAAGGAGAACATTGCAAATTGATATATTCATTATTCTGAAAGCGAAGTCTATTCCCACTGTTTAGGACTTCTAAAACTTATTTCTAACATTTATTCATGAACGTGTTAAAACATATATAAATACTGAAACATCCATCAGTGGCAGTCTTTTGAACATTTTTTTTATTGATCTTTTGCTAGTTTTTCCAAATGTAGGATTACTTCCTCTCTGTACAACATGAAAAGATTGAAGGATGATACACTGAGTGGTCAGGGGAACAAGACTGGCCAAAGTTCCTTCCCATTTTACTGGCAGGAGAGTTTTCATCAGAGTACCATTCCAGCGGAATCACAACAAAATGGGATCCAACTATCTAAGTTTGTGTAAGGGAACTCCTGGTAAACAGGAAACAGGTGAAACCCATCCCATTCACCCAATATTAAATGTCTCTGTAATTTATTCTCCAAAGCACCAAAGGGCAGGACAAGAAGCAACGGATGGAAACTAATCAAGGAGAGAAGCAACCTAAAACTGAGGAGAAATTTCCTGACAGTCAGAACAATTAATCAGTGGAACAACCTGCCTCCAGAAGCTGTGAATGCTCCAACACTGGAAGTTTTTAAGAAGAGACTGGACAGCTGTTTGTCTGAAATGGTATAGGGTTTCCTGCCTGAGCAGGGGGTTGGACTAGAACAGACATGTCAAACTCGCGACGTCACGTGATGTCGCGCGACATATCAGAACTTTTTCCCCATTGCCAGCAATGGGGTGGGCGCAGTTTCCTTGTGACACATCTGGCCTGCGGGCCGGCAGTTTGACATCCCTGGACTAGAAGAACTCCAAAGTCCCTTCCAACATTATTATTGTTGTTGTTATTGTCATTATTGTTATTAAAACCCATTCATCCCACAATTAATTGTGGCCATATGAAAAACTTTATACTTCCAGTAAATAGACCGGAACGTGTCTGGAAATAAACACGTACTTAGGTCAGGTTAATCAACTGTATCTAAGTTGTATTAATTTTATTAAAAACGCTGTCCCGTTTTTTCCCCAGCCATTAATTAGCCTCCATAATCTTAGGCACAATAATGTTAATAATTACGTACATCACTCTGAATCTGCATCCTGTTTCTTGACAATTCCATACTCATGGCATCAGGAAGAAGAGTGTAATGATGCAGAGGTTGTTTGTAGTTTGTGTCAGTCACAACTTCTTGGGCTTTCTTAGCGGCCACTATACTGAAGTGGTCCAGAGGTAAGTTATAATTAGTCTTGCCGCTTTCATAGCCTTTCTTGTATTCCCGTTCTGATTGTAATTTTGCCACTTTCATATAATGGACCAATTTAGGATCATCTTGCAGGCTAAGGAAGCCAATTTGCTTCCCTTTTCCTTTCTCATAGGATTCTTTGTATTTGTACTAAGGAAAATCAAAACAAAGAAGTTTAAGCCATTGCAAAATGCGTGGTATCAAGTTAACTTAAACTACCCTGGGATAGAGAGTATCCCAATGCTGTGTATTTACTCCTACCCTTGCTTTAATTATTTTTCTGGCTATTACCTCTTTCCCATTGTTGTTGTTAAAAATGTCACAATTCCATTCAGTTATTCTGTACCAAACTAGAAAATTACATTCTCCCTTGTTTTTTTCATCTGCTATCTGTATTTCTCCAAGACCTTTTCTTCCAAACCCTGCTGTTTAAATTTTTTGAAAGCCCCTTAAAAGATTTTATTAGGATCAACTTACATCACTGGCAATATGGCGTGAAGATTTCGCAGCAACAATAGGAATAGCATCTGCTTTCAGGTTACAGCCTTCAGCCAGCCGCCTCTTCCAGTCTGCTTTGTAGAAATTCTTAAAGAGAAGAAATCACTTTTCTTAAAGCCTCTAGTTAAGTTCTAGCAGTGAAGATCCATGAATATTCTTATATTAACATGAAAGGTTTTTTTAAGTTGAGAGTTACAATTAGCATTAAGATAACTTACATCTATTTTAATGAGCAAAACACTAGCCTTTTCCCCCACAAGTGGCTTAAAAAATGGAATGGAAAATCCAAGAATAAAATGAGTTACCAATTTTGATTTTCTAAAGATGAAGGTTTTACATCAGTTTATGTATTCATTTAGGCATCAAAGAAACTGTCAAGTACTTACATCACTTATATTGTAGGCATTGACTTTTGCTTGAATAAATGCAGGTACATCTGGATCCAAATGGTACTTGTGTTTCACTTTCTCACCTTCTACCTTATAGTTTATCTGAAAGAAAACACAATTTATGCAGCGGGTGCAAGTTTTAATTTAAAACTATGTTGCCCAAACCAGTATCTTCCAGGTATATTTGGACTGTAATTCCTAGAATTCATAACCACTATGGTCAAATGCAATACAGTCTGGAAATTCTGGAAACCATAATCCCGACATATTTTAAAGCATTGAAAAGCCTCCTTTAGAACGGACATTTGTATCCAAATCACATAGGATAACAAATCCAATTTAGGGCTGTGTAGCTGGGGATTTGCAAAACTCTTGAAAGTTACATGGAAGAGCCTCTACGGGAATTTCTTAGATAAAGCACAAAGCTTTAAACTGTTTATGAATATTTTAGAATTCCACAGCACTTTTAAGACAATAACTAAAAAGAAGGAAATGATGTCCTTTGGATTGAACTTACATCACTCAGCTGTTTGGTATTCTGTTGAGCCAAAACCATCGGTATAGAATCCATCAAACTTGTAAACTTGAGTTTGTCTGGGTGCTGGCGATATTTAGATTCACATAATGCATCTCCAGCTTTTTTAACTTTTTCCATATCCAGGGAGCCCAAGGGACTCCATCCCACACCTCTTAACCAGTTGTTGTAGTCATCTTTGTAAGTAATCTGAAGAAAAACAAAAGGAGACTCAAAGCTCTGGAAGCATGCAGAAAGCCTTTCAAAGGATCAAGAAGCACATACAATAGTGTACCAAGATAAGCATTGGCACTCCAATGGGATGCATTTATATTGTCTAAGTTAAATGATTGAATACCCTTATTGTAACATAAGGTCTGCATAGGTAGGCAACGTGAGAGACAAAATCCTTCATTTTCAGGCTATCTGATAATAGTATTTCCATAACTTTCTTCCAAGATGGGCTTCTTTTGTTTTTGTCACTCTACACAAATACTAGCTATATACATAAAACAATATGTATTCATTTTAGACTGAGACGAAAGCTCTTGTGAAACTGAGTAATATTTTTCAGTCAGCATTAGCATTCAGTTTAGCATTCCTTTTATCTGTGAATTTGGAAGGCAAATCTCTTGAGCACTAAAATACTGAAATGGAATTGAGTATACACATTCAAGCAAATCCATCACAATAGGGGGCTGGACTAGAAGATCTCCAAGGTCGCTTCTATTCTATTCTATTCTACAATCAGACAGGAATTCAGCACCCCTTTTAAAAGAGAAAGGAGAACACAAAGTAAAATTCATGCAATCATTTCTTTGGCAATGCTCAAGGCAACAATTTATTTTTATATATAAATTCCAACTCAAACCCCAAAACTGTTTTCAAGTGTGCTTTCCTGTGAAAATGGTTACATTGGCACAAAAAGTATTAATTAATTTGTGTATCAATTCCAACTTGGTCTTCATAGCAAAAGTTGGGGGGGGGGGGAAGAGTGGCAAGTGAAGCAAAAAAGAATATAAAGTTGACACTGGAAGTGAGATCTCAAATACAGGATGATACTGGTACTAGTTTATTTTGTTTGAAGCTTGGCCAAATAAGAAGTGTTCAAAGTGGAAATCCATAAGGGTACAGGAGATTGTAGATAGAGAGATAAGAATTGTTAATCTGTTTAGAATTAGCAGATTAGCAGATTAAAGAATTAACAGAGTTAATAATTGCTAATCTATTTGCTAATCTAATGTCACTTTCACCTTTTTAGGTGCACACATGCACGCGTTCATACACACACACACACACACACACACATACACAAACAGACAGATAGATAACATATGCTTTGTGATTCTCCTCTTAAAGAAACATAATTAGCTGGATACTTGCCTTTTTTGTAAATTTCCTGCAATTAAATCTTGTTTCTGTTATAATTCTTAAACTTGCTTCACTGATCATTTGCAGGCATAGAATGCTTTAACTCCCAATAAAGAGCAGTTTACATGAATGATTCTAACATTCTCAATTGCTATTGCCTTCCCCTTTAAATGAGGGTCCCAACCCAACTATTTTGACACTGTGGCTTTAAGAAAAAAAAATAGCCATCTATCACACTGATGAACTTATCTGAAAAAAATTGGGGTGCATCATCAGTGCAGATAGATTTCCCTTGCAGAATTAAGCTGCAGTTCCCCTGGAAATTAGAGATAATTAAGAATTCAAGGAACTGTCATATTCCCACACCTCCCCTTCCTTCGTTGGTAGCACAAAAGGCCATTTTAATGACTTGAGCATCTTTAAAAGAATGATTCATCTGGCCCTGTGATTAAAAAAATAAATATTTTTAAAAATAATTTATTCTTAGAAATGATTCTAGAGGGGGGGGAAATCTCATTGCTTGCTAGGTAAACTACACCGTGTTGTCTCTAGGCAGCTGTGACCTTTTGAATATCGCCCTACTTACATCACTCTGAATTTGCATCCTGTTCTTGGCCAGCTCCACGTTCATAGCATCTGGCAGGTAGGTATAGCGATGAATCAGATTTTTGTAGTTGACATTGGAGGCTACATCCTGAGCCTGCTTGGCAGCTTGGATACTGACCATCTCCACTGGTGTGTGATAGCATGTCTTGCTTTTCTCGTAATCCTTCTTGTACTCACGCTCAGACTGCATCTTGGCCACATTCATAGAATGGACAAGCATAGGAGCGTCTTGCAAGTTTCGGAAGCCGACCTGTTTTCCTTTAGTCTTTTGATAAGCTTCTTTGTATTTGTACTAAAGTTTCCAGTCAGAAAGACAAAGAGAGAGAGAGAGAGAGTAGTTAGGACTGGATAGTGAGACTTGGTATACAACCAGCTAAGAAAAATGTCTGGACTAATTGGCAATTCAATACTTATTTTTTTATACTAGTAATGAAGAAAAATAATTTTAGGCAAATCATTGAGATGGACATGACAGGATTCCTTCAAAAATAAACATTCCTATGGTAGAAAAAGTGAAATTATGCCTGTACAGGTATTGCTGGATTATAACCATGCATTACTGCTAGTCCTTCAGTCTGGACTAAGAAACTGAAAATCATAAATTTCTGGAAGTTACTATTATAAGTCTGTACAAAAGAATATATACAAGTGACCAAACTGCTGGAATTTGGATAAGATATATGGCACAATATTCAGTTCTGTCTTTGTTGTGCAATAACCTGCTCCCACTTTTTTCCCCATAATTTTTTTATCTCTTGAACAAGCAACCAGTCATTTCCTCTAGAAGAAACAATGACAGGTTCTTCAGTAGTGAAGAAGGAGATAAAAGCAATAGAGTGAGACTGGCAAGAAATTCTTTGATGGCTTTGCCAACAAAAACCTTTAGCCCTAAGGACAGAACCATCTAATACAGATAAAGCAATGTGTGAGAAAATATTTTTATAATCATTTACATAGCAAGCTAAGAGCAACTTTCATCATGTTGATAGTATATACAGTATATACAGAGAAGTTAGTAAGGAAAAGTTACTTACATCACTAGCAATGTTTCTTGAGGCCTTGGCTTGAGTAATTGGAATAGCATCACCCAGTACATGAGGTCCTTTGGCTATGAGGTCCTGATAGCCATATTTATAATAATTCTGAAAAAAAGAGCATCCTACTGATTTAACAAGTCATTTTATGTCATTGCTGTTGGTTAACTTAGAATCCAGTAGTCTATACAATGCATTTATCTGGACTTTCTGACCTTCAATTACGGTAGCTTTTTCTGGATTATGCTTGATCTATTGCAGTGGTGGCGAACCTATGGCACGCATGCCAGAGGCGGCACTCAGAGCCCTCTCTGTGGGCACGTGCGCCATTGCCCCAGTCCCGTCTCCTCCCATGGCCCTCTCCTCACCGGCAGCCCCCCGGAGGAGAGTTGTCCCTGGGTGCGGCTCGTGTGGAGCAGCACATCCAAGGACATGGCAGCCGGGCAAGACTCCGCCCTCGTGCCCCATCGCGCGCAGATGATGCTGCGGGGTGCGGGTGGAAGGCATGGCTGCCATGGTGCTGCTGGGCCACCTGGGCAATCTGCAGTGGGCCATGGAGGCAGTGGGTGGCCCTGAGGGTGGGTGGCAAGGCAGGGGGTGGAGCAGGGGCAGGGGGCAGGGTGGGGGCAGGGCGGGGCGGTTTTGGGGCACTCAGTTTCTAAAAGGTTCCGCATCACTGATCTATTGGTTTCAAACTATGGCTATTCATGTCAGCAGATATGACAGTCTGTTGATATTACAGTCAATGTTTGATCCCTCCATTTCTTGCTCCCCTTCTCCAAATAGGAAAAAAAGAAAATTACTTCTGTCATGCACAGCATCAAGTAATAAACAATGATATCATCACATACCAAATTATGTTGTGTATTTGATTTTCAAAATATTAGAATAATATTTATTATAACACTTTTCATTATTTACCATAGTATAAATTATGCACACTTTGAATAGCCACTTACATCACTGATATTAGCTGCATTATATCTGGCCTGGATAAACTGAGGGGCATCTGCAGGCAAATTATATGTATGCTTCATTTCTTCCCCGGAGGATTTGTATAATATCTGAAAATCAAGGAAACAAGACAATAATATATTCTGATGTTCCTTAATTCAACAGTTGAATTTATGTATTACTTTAGTGCATACGACTGCAGCCTATGTACACTTACTTAGGAGCCACTGAAAACAGTTGTACTTTTCTCCATAGGAGAAAAGAATGGTCATAGGAGCAGGTTATAAAAATTGTCCTTAGAATCAGTTATTACATTTTCCATATGTAGTTATTTGTCATTATAAAAAATGTTGCTATAAGGTAGCTAAGTTGAATCAATTAACAATTATAATTATAACCAGGGCTTTTTTTTCTCATAGAACGCCCAGAACGGAGTTCCGGCACCTTTTTTGGATGGAACCTTGTAGGGTAGGCAAGGCGGGTTGTATGACGTGTGTGTTCCGGCACCTTTTTTTTTTTTTTAGAAAAAAAGCACTGATTGTAACAATTGTCAGCCGCCCTGAGTCCGCAAGGAGAAGGGCGGGATATAAATTTAATTTAATAATTAATTTAATAATAATAATTATAATTAATCAGACGACAGCTTCCAGATCATTATAAAACCCACAAGATCCTGAACAGGTTCATTAGCAGAGCAAAGATATTCAGAAAACTAGGTGTAAGAAAACTACCTTTTTAAAGAGGAAACACTTAACTTCCTTCAGTCTCAAACAAATGGCTCTGTCTATTACTATTATAAACTACAATCTTAGCTTCAAGCACTTGTATATATGCCTATGGAGATTATCAGTCATCCAAGGCATAGTTATCCCAAAAGTGCTTTTTCAAGAGGCAACAGGAATTTCTTGTTTTTCTTTGAAGATGTTTCACTTCTTATCCAAGAAGCTTCTTCAGCTCTGACTGGATATGAGGGAATGGCAGGATCTATACTCCTTGTAGACAGCTGGTCATTTGCATTCTTTTAGACAGTCATTGATGCCACCTGGAGGCTTATCTGTGTCCTCAGGGTCACCTGAGGGGTGCAAAGGGTTGTGGAGCCTTTTTGGAACTGTTGAAAGAACTGTGTTGCAGAATGAAGACAGATGATGTTGTAACCCTCCCCCTTTGTTCAATTTTGACATAAATGGCCTCTTTGACCCCTCTTTCAAACCAACGGCCCTTGCTGTCCAAACTGTGGACTTTGCTGTCTTCAAAAGAGTGGCCTTTGTTTTTTAAATGCATATGGACTGCTGGATCAACCTAATCTCCAGGGGAACAGTTTATCATCAATAATATCCTGAACCCTGTTTTAGTATATTTTTTCCAATAGATTCCATTTGATATTACAAGCCTTTGGTGGTCAAAGTAACTTGGCTGGTTTTTTGACATGCAAAGGGAAGAATGCACAATTTTGGGGTCTGACTTAGTGATGTGAAGGTAGTTTTTGAAAATGTCAGAAGAGCAGGTCAGTTCTGAGTCCCTCAATTTTGTGAGCAAATATTTTCTGGTTAGCAAAAATCAAAAACGTTTGGCGTGGTGATTAATAAACAAGGCTAGAAATTGGGAGACTGGGAGTTCTAGTTCCATTGGAGGCTTTGGGCCAGTCGTTGTCTTTGAGCCTTAGAAAGAAGATAATGATAATAACTCTAGAAAGAGTACAGAGAAGAGCAACAAAGATTATTAGGGGACTGGAGGCTAAAGCATATAAGGAAAGGCTTCTGGAATTGGGTATGTCTAGTTTAATGAAGAGAAAGACGAGGGGGGACATGATAGCAGTGTTCCAATATCTCAGTGGCTGCCACAAAGAAGAGGGAGTCAAGCTATTCTCCAAAGCGCCTGAAGGCAGGACAAGAAGCAATGGATGGAAACTAATCAAGGAGAGAAGCAATCTAGAACTAAGGAGAAACTTCCTGACAGTGAGAACAATTAACCAGTGGAACAGCCTGCCTCCAGAAGCGGTGAATGCTCCAACACTGGAAGTTTTTAAGAAGAGACTGGACAGCCATTTGTCCGAAATGGTATAGGGTTTCCTGCCTGAGCAGGGGGTTGGACTAGATGACC